AGCCTAATACCTTATAAATGATACTTCTTACACTGTTCTAAAGGCTAGAAAGACTATGTGACTTGAGTATACACTAATTCCAATCCAGAAAGCTCCACCTTCATGGTGGTCTAATCATTTCCTAATATCAGTGGTGATTAATTTGGAGAACCCCAAACATTCAGATTATAGCACTGAGTACATTCCAAACAGCTATTGAAAGGTTAACGTTTGAGGCAGTGACCACCACGTGTTGCTTGTTTCTGTCTAGCAAAGCAACGCGTGCTGGTAATCAAAACACCTGGTTGATTGTGTGCCTATATAAGACCTGCAAATCCTTAGCTCGGGGCTCTCCTCCTGGGCTCCGCTGTGTTGGAGTGTAGGACAAGGCCCGAGCTGCAGCCCGTTTAAATAAAACAGCTGTAGAGTCTGACTCTCGGTGGTGGTCTTATCGGGGGGTCCTGCGACCTTGGCATTACGCTATCACCATATTCTACCGAATACATTTGAGTGTATGGATTTGAAGACCTTAGAGTTTACCTTTACCCCTCTCTCTACAACCTTTGATAGACAACTTTGTTCTCCATGCCCATTTAGCTTTTTATTTAACAACTTTTGATTAGGTATAAAAACTGTACCTAATATAGGCAACTGCTGAATAACAGCCAATATACATTACTTATCTTATTGGTACAAAATAAAGAAAACATTGTTTTGATGATAGCCAACTTTCTAGGAACACTGACCAATAAGTAGATCTTTTTTAAGTGTCTTTAAACTCTACCTCTGCATTTTTCCATATGATGAGCATCTAATCTGATATAGTCTATGACCAAATTTTCTTCCCTGGTCACAGGTATGATATCAAATTTAGTATCTAGTACTCTTACTGAATTTGAAAAAGGTCTCTTTTTGACATAAAATGAGAACATGCATAATTATAGATTTTAGTAATAATTCTGATTAAAAATTGTTTTGTCAATTGTGCAACTGGCAATGAGTGTGGTTAAAGCATAAGAAGGAAAAATGTGCACATGCTATTTCATTCTTTACTTTTCATTACATAGTAAGGGTTTAAAATGGTCTATTTTTAATCTTTAAGTAGAAGTATAAAAGGGTTTCAACTCAGTATGCCAATTTATGACTAGACTGCATCTTGGCTGGGGTCATCCCTTTACCATTTCCCCCTTCCCTTTATTTGCTTGGTGGTACTGGGGGTTGAACTCAAGGCCTCAATCTTAACTCAGCCTGAATGCTCAGTTGACAGTCTTCATGAGCCATGCCTCCAGCTTGTACTCGTGTGTATATGTGTTTGCTGGTACTGCAGTTTTAACTCAGGACTTCAAACTCTTGCTCAGTGTTCCCTCATGATTTATGCTCTACCACTTGAGCCACACCTCCTATTCTGGCTTTTTGCTGGTTAGCTGGAGATAAAAGTCTCTTGGATTTTGTCTGCTGGATTTGGGCCAGTTTTGAAACTATTCTCAAATCTTAGCCTCCAGAGTAGATATGATTACAGGAGTGAGCCACTGGCTCCTGGCTTGTTTGGTACTCTTGGTCACATACAAGTGGTATAATCCTCATCACTTTCACCTTTTTTTTTTGGTACTGGTCTTGGAGCTTGAACTCAGGGTCTGGGCACTGTCCCTAGGTTTTTTGCTCTACAACTTGAGCTAAAGCTCCACTTCTGACATTTTGGTGGTTAATTAGAGATAGGAATCACATCGACTTTCCTGCCTGGTCTGGTATCTCAGATTTCAGGCTCCTGAGGAGGTAAGATACAGGTGTGAATTACTGATGCTTACTTTCATAATTTAATAGTAACAAAAGTAATGTAAATTTCTAAGGCACCATAAAAGAATATAAACTTTATAATTTTATAAACAAATCACTGCAATGTATGTAGTCATATATATTATATATATACATACATTATGTAGACATCTTTTTGAATGAATAAATTCCTACTTGGCCTAGTAAAACAAGTTCATTATTCTTTTTTTGCAGGGGGCGGCAACACTGATTTTGAACTTTTGTGCTTGCTAGGCAGGTACTCTACACCTGAGCCATGTCATCAGAAATTTGTTTTACATTCCACCTGTGTAGCTAGAATTACAGATAGGTACCACCATATGCAGCTTGTCTGCTTAGATGTAGTCTTGATAACTGCATGGACTGGCCTCGACTGACAAACTTCTCCACCTGACTGGGAATTACAGGACTGGCCTCCAGGGGGTGGCATTTCCTTTCTGGAAGGTGACAATCAGGTGGGCAATGCTATCAGGATGACCTAAGCTTCATACTGTATGTTAATGCTTCACCTTTTCTATTGAGACCTGACACATTTCCTTCAGCGCACTTATATTTTATGTACAATCTGAACTCTAGAAACATGATAGTAATCTTGCTTGAGATTCATAATTGCTCTCAAGAAAACAGATTACAAGAAGTCTTACAAATGGAACTAGTGTGTTTTAATAATGCTTTTGGTCCTACCCCATCTTTTCATTATGATATTTGCTGAAGAAATGAATGATATATTGCAGCTTACCAGGCATAGACTCTCTCACACAGTTGTGTAAATATTAACTTACTCATGCAATAATGTCAAAGTATAACAGTCAGTCTTACTCTGTCTCAGCCAACGTTTAATTTAAACTACTAGGGAAGGGTCATTATTCACTCAATGTATCCACATGCTATTAAGTAGCTACTATTTTAATTGAGAAAAAGGCTTCATTATCCATAAGTAATTTGAAAAAGGAAAAAAAAATGTTTATCTACATATTTGTGGGTGAAGTGTTTTCAAGAGAAATTACAAATGGGTCCTATTTTAGGTCTCTTCTATTCTGAATGACAGGCTTAACATTCTTTAAACCTTAAGAATATAATGACTACATCTTTTTTAAAAGCCCCTAGGGATCACTGTACATTAATGAATCAGTCAGTAAGTTATTTATCTATAAATTAATCTTTCTAAACAGATCTCAACCCTGTTCGATTTGAACCTTAAACTTCTAAGTTTCCACTTCAACTTCATACCCAAAAGGCCTACATCTGTAAAAACATTTCTAAGAAAACAGAAAGACCCCCCCCCCAAAGAAACAGATAGATAAAAGGAGACCAGTTACATTCCCAACAGCAGTGGAGTCTAATTTGATGCCAGACAGAGGTTGGGAACAAAATCAGTGAACAAATCTTTCTTCAGTTTCAGTGAAAAAAATTCTGTTTCTATTTTGCTAATTAGACCAAGATAGATGAGTTCTACCTTTGACTCAGAAGTCATGGGACCCAAAGGCCCACTGGCTAGAAGAGACATGCCCGACGCTAGAACAGGTGGCAGAAAAACTGTACATTAAGTCTAGGCTTCTTGGGTAACACAGTAACTGTCACAATCAAATCTCAAAGACATTTAAAATTTCAAATAATATTCAAAATCATTCAACCTTCCCACGGAAATCATTTAATCAGTTAATAACACCCTTAACAAACAACAGGGCTACCTACCACCAACAAAAAAAGAACCAATTAGGGAAGTAGTTAAAAAAAAAAAAAGAACCAATTTAGGGAAGTAGTCATCTCCTGAAAAAACTCTCAAGTTTGTGTCCATAGTTGGACTACATTTAAAATCAACACCATTTTACATAAGGAACTTGAACAGTATGGATTTTGCTATCAACATCAGTTCTGGAACCAATTCCCCAGGTACAGGGAGGGACCGCTGACTGTCCGAAAGGTACTACGCTAGAGAATGATAGATCTGGTTTCTGTCCCTATGGGACATACACATGTTCTGATTAATATATTTCTGATAATCCCCAAAGCCTATAAAGACATGAAAAAGTATGTAACTCTGATACCAATGACATAAGCCTTGTATCAATAATCTATTTTTAGCATCAAGATTGCTCAAAAATGTTACAGAAGAATGTTACTTACTTTTCACTGATATTTCAAGTCCATGATTTAGGAGATGTTAGCTAAAAGAACAGTTGAGCCTATTCTTATGATAAAAGTTATGCTCTTTATGTTGGCTTTCTAGATGTTTGTTATTCAACGGAAAGTATGTTACATACTATACTTTAGAAAATGTCATAGAGGAAAATAGCTTTTTGACATCTTTAAATTTTAAATATCAAATCTGGGATTCCTTTATTATGGGCAAATTCGCAGTATATTCTAAAATGATTTAAAAAAGCAATAATTTTAAAAAAAATGGTAGATAAAGTACATCACTGAGAAAAAAATCAATGTAGTCAAGGCAGACACAATAGTAATGTCCCTAACTACCAGAAGACCCTTCCTTCAGACTCCCATGAACCAGAACAGGCCATTCAGAATTGGGCACAGATAAGCTCCCTCTGTGCACTCAGACTTAGGCTGGGAGATATATCTGGACCAGGCAGTATGTGAAGGAGAAAATCATCTCATCAGACTAGGCTGTCTCCTGTTCACTGTGAACAGAGGTCATTGTATCCTTAAATCATACTCAAATGCCCACATTTACTTGAAGTAACCAGAACTTGATTTCAGATAGAAACTATTGGGATATCCTCGTAAAGAAACTCTTAAAAATGTATGTGGAGGTACTGTTAGGTAGACCTAGCAGACATAACACCTCTTTCCTGCAGTACATGCTAGCCTTCGATGTGGAAACCGCACTTCGTGAAATTTGAAGGGTACATTTTATTTCGTCTTTAAACAGGTGATAGAAGGTCTCCTGTTACATGTAGTAATTAGGGAGCTTATTCGCATACTCACCCAGTGTGGTCAGACTTGTTAATGTGCTGGGCTCATATAAAACTTGGCAAAGCAATCAGCGTAAATGCATAAAATGCCACTTACTAATGGAGGGGCTGTTGCTGATGGACTATAAAAGATTGCTAAAATTTCAGACTCAGTTCATTTTAAGAAACCTTTATATCTGTCAGCACTGAGATAAAAATACAGTGACTTGAAAAGGAAGAGCCAAATATTTTATCCAGTTTGTTTGGAAAGAAAAACATACTAAAGAACTCAACTACGCATACAATTATGATTTTATTTTTTAAATTACAATAGCCAGAGATAGCTTTCCAGAAGGCAAAAATAAACCACACAAACATTCTAGAAAAGTCCTTTCTGTTTCTTTAAATCTAAGGCCCCCTCTAGTGTTTGGAACATTATAGGCATCACACAGTCCAACAAAAAGAACACTTTTGTTTGATTCATGTAGCATAAAATCAACGAGAGAAAAATGTCGAACCATAATTCATATTTCAAATTCCTGCTATGATTAGCTGATTCATTATCCTCTCATTCAGTAACTTTATCTGTTATTGTCAGGTTTTTAGAAAATTAAACTTTGTTAATAAAGGAAAAATATATTTATATATATAATAGGATAGGGCTTTAGTTTCCCAAATAAATATACTTTGTTGAAAGTAATAGAAAATTAATTTAGCATTACTAGATAATCTATTCTGCTTTTATTAAAGTTAATGGTAGATACTAATAATACTTCCTAAAGTACAGACTTAAATGTATAATTGGAAATCTGAATTTTTGAAGACCCAACCTAATCTGAGAATTCACCAATAAGCCTTTTCAATTCTGTGTAAAGTGTGCAATGTGGCGCTGAGAACTAACAGTGGCTCTGAAGAGCACGAGGGGCTGGAGCCCTGCAGTTCCACGCAGACACGGCGCTGTGGGGTCCAGGGACATAAGCTCATGTGCTTTGCAAAGACTGATTAATATTACAGGAAGAAAAACAAAAACAAAAACAAAAAAGCACCAGTTCTGCTTCTCTTTGTTTTTTGCTAAAGCCTTTGTGTCTGTTTCCATATTCTATGACAGAAGGCTTAACAGCTAGGATATTTCTAGTACCGGAAAAGGGAAAAAAAATTCCAAAAGCAAATATTGCCGTCTTGAGCAGGAGACTGACAGGGATTATTGAGTACACTGAAAATCTGACGATTCGAAAAGCTCTTGAGACAAGCCTAAACTATGTGAACTGCATTAAACAAATGATGACTTCGCCCCAGTCTGTCACATGGCTTCCCTGCACTGACACTGCTGTTGTCAAGCTTGTCTTTTGCAAGTAATACACGTTCAAAGTAATACAAGGAAAAAGACAGGTCACATAAAATGGAGTTTTTAAAAAATAGCTACGTGACTAGCTGGCCTCAGTTTTTATGCTACCTACAATCAAATGGAACAAGACGCAGCATCTTTAAAGTGCAACATATTTTCTTTCGGCTCAACATAAACTCTACAACTGGAAATGACTGAGGCCATTTCTCCTAGAACAAATTTAATGAAAAGCTGTTCTGAAAGCTAGCCATTTAAACTGAGAAATACTGTGAAGAGTCATTTTAAATGAGTATATAAAATGCAATTACAAATAAAACCGGCATGGGAGAGGTAGCATAAAGTAAATGAAATCAAATAAATACTGTACAGTAATATATAAAATCCAGCTTATAAAAACTGAATGGAGCATTTAAAAATATCTATTTTCTCTATTTTTGACGATATTAAAATGAAATGAAAATTTAGACCTGGAGTCTCTGAAGAGACTTTCCAAATGTTACTAATTACTGGCACTGTTTTTAGTCAGAACCTCTCTGATCTGTCGGTCGAGTTCACTTATGATCCGGTCCTCATGATTGTACACACCCGTCCTCATCAGAGTGTCCCTTTCTTCTATTAGGCGAGTCAGGTAATCATCCAAACCTTCCTCTTCAGTAGAGCCCTGTGGACCTCCCATTCTTCTACTCGCAGTCTCGCTGGAAGCCTGGTTCTGCTTTTGTTCTTGCTGCCTTAACCTGAAAAGTCAACAACAAGTGCAGTGCTAGCAAGCAACCGGTACTGTTACAGTCTGAACAGCACAATTAAAAAGACCCAGTGGTAAGTTTTACTAGTATTTTCAGGAAAAAGCCAAAATCAATGTATCACGTGACTAGCCAGAGTCCAAATACTTATTAAAAACAGTTAAAAAAAAAAAACAGGCTTTTTGAGTTACAAAACACATGAAAAGAATTAGGTGTGGTGATGTATGTTTACAATCCCAGCACGTGGGAGGCTAAGGCAGGTGGACAGAGGCTAGTCTGAGCTATATAAAAAGACCCTAAACAAAAGTAGCATGAAAAGCCAAAATGGGTAACATTTAACTTTTAATTTTTTAAATTAAAATGCATATATGTACATTTTCTGGAAAGTTAAGTGATGCTTGTACACAATGCTGCACACGTCTACTTACACGTGCCTTGTAAGGAATGTTCTCCCACATCAAGTATCTTGTAAATAGTTTTATGGTTTCATCATTAGATGTACCGGCATTTCATTACCCTTTTACTTGTTAGGTTGTAATTAAATATTTCTTATTTGAATATAATTTTTTTCTTTAAATTCATTCAATAATTACTTATTCTCAAGAGTTTTGGGAGTAGTACAGCCAATCAAGAAAAGTCCACACAAGAAAAGGAGCTAGTATACAATTATTTACAGAAAGCAAAAATCTAAAAACAAACACCTGCTTCAAGAGGCATGCACACAAAGCAGGTGCTGTTTTGGGAGTTGGGTATTTTTAACAGAATATGTTAATTATAGTGCCTCGAAAATGGAAGGTAACAGTAATACTATACTAAGCAAGAGTAACACTACTTTTGGATGTGGAATACATTCTAACTCAGAATGTACAAGTAATATCAATGCTAACAGTTATGAAGTAACTGGCTATAGAATGTATTAACTTGTGTCTTGGTAAGATAAAACAACTGGCCTAAGGCCCTGCTTTGAGATGGTCTTCAGAACAGCAAAGCAATGAGAAGCAAGTCCTTTGTGAATGTTCACAAAGCCTATGACAAAAGTAGGAAGACTTGGTTCACAGTGCATGGCAACTGCAGTTACTATGCAGGCACACATGCAGTTGCCACACAAACTGCACGTTTCCTTTGCTCAGCTGGCCTGAAACATGAAGCTCTCACCAAAGAGAAGAAAAGCGAAAGTCTGTAGTCTGCCGTCTGCAGACACCAGGCAGAGAACCGGATTGCTACGAAGCACTGCATGTTGAGACCCAATTGACTAATAGTGCCAAAATCCCCACTGAATTTCTGCAGTGCATGTGTACAGGTGGAGGTATAGTGTATAGTTCTGAGGAGTTGTTTTTGCTACCTTATTATTCTTTTTCTTTTTTGGTGCTAGTATGAGGGCTTGAACTCAGGACCTTGAACTCTCAAGTTCTTTCGCTCCTGGCTGGTGCTATCTCTTGAGTCATACTTTCCGTGCAGCTTTTTTTTTTTTTTTTTTTTTTTTGCCAGACCGAAGAAGAGTCTCCAGGACTTTTCTGCATTTGAATTGAGATCTTCAAATCTCAGTATCCAGAGTAGCTAGCTAGCATTAGACAGGCTTGAGTCACTAGTTCCTGGTTTTCTTGACCAGCATTGGGATTTGAACTCAAGGCCTCACACGGGTTTGGCTTGCTTAGTGGCACTCTTACTACGTGAGCCATTCCTCCAGCCTGGCTTTTTGGTTATTTTGGAGATGGAGTCTAGCACACTTTTCTGTCCAGGCTGACTTCAAACTGTGATCTTCTGGATCTCAACCTTCTCAGTAGAATTACAAGCTACCAGTGCTAACTCTCTACCATCCTTCTTACAGTCATCATGGGGGAAGGTCTTACAGAAAAACTTAAGGACACACACAGTGCCAAGCCAGGAAGTCTAATCATTCCCTTTTTGTGTCATCTGTTTACATGAACTGATTATCCTTACCAAAGTAGTTACTAAAATGCATAGAAACTAGAATCAGACACATGTCAGAAATGTATCTATTTCATAAGAGGGTGACTTGTGGTTGATATAGCCACAAAATGCCAACTGAATCATACGTGATCTAGAAATTCCAAGTTTTCTCTGAATATTACTTGAATATTATTTGATTTTCTTTTTGCTATTATAATCATTCACAATCTAATTGGTGACTGAGGTTAACTAAATGTCGTGGATAACAAGATGATCATAATAAAAATCTGGAATCTGATAGCTTAAGATGCCCTTAAAATATGAGAGGAAACTTTGAAAACACTGTTGAAAAATTCTGGGTCTAGATAAACACTGTCTAGATTCCACTCACATACTTTCTGCCACTAGGAACCTGTAGCTTTGTATCATGTACCCTGTTAGACAGTTCCTTCTCCTCAGCTGCCTTGGTGGTACAAACTGGGAATCTCAGCAGATGGGAGTCTGAGGCAAAAGGACAGCTAAGTTTTCGGACCGGCTAGGGCTACATAGTAAATACACAGCACTGAAACCAAAAAGATGACTTAAACAAAGATGGCATTTCTGCATATCAAATTTGCTGACCATATGAAAGTTAATTTTGTTAATGTCTTAATATACTTTATGTACTTTATCCTTCAGATCTAAAGCGCTAGTTTTCCTGATCAGGAAAGACCTAATTAAAAGGTTACCCTGTTAGAATTTTTGTTTTGCTTAAAAAAACCTCTTTTAAGGATTATACCTGTTCAACTCATTTCTTATATCCAACAATTCCTGTTGCTCAGTTTTCACTGTATCTTTTTCCTCTGCAGCGAGGTAACGCAGTCGCATCTGGTCCAATTCTTCTTGCTGCTTTTTAAGACGAGCCATTTGACTCTCTTGCTCCCTCTTGAAAGAAACAACAGTCAGACACATGTCAGAAATACATATCTATTTCATATGAGAGTGACTTGTGGTTGATATAGCCACAAAATGCCCACTGAGTCATATAGAATCTAGAAATTCCATGTTTTCTCTGAATATTATTTAAGTTTCTTTTTGCTATTATAATTATTCATAACCCAATTGGTGACTGAGGTTAACTAAATGTCATGGATAACAAAATGAAAGCCAGAGAGCATTATCTATATACATGTTGAATTGAAACCCTTTGTATGACTACTTAAAAATAGTAAAAACAAAAAAGTAATCATTCTACTTTAAGGAACAGCTTACAAGCAGTAGGAAAAAAAAAATGAAAGAAAGCAGCATATAGGAAATAATTATGTTAAGATACAAAAAAAAATTTAGTAACTAGAAAAATTTTAATAGCATTTACATTTTAATAACAGTCCCTGATCCCTAATTCCTACTTTGTCTCAGGTTAACATGGTTTTCCACTTTTCCAGGCTCATTAAAAAAAAAAGGAGAGTATGAAGGAATGATACTGCTCCAAAAGAAATATATTTACTACCTGACTTATGAAATGGTAACTCCTGTTATCACCTTAATAATAACAATAAAAATGTTTACAAAAATCTACGCATCCACTTTCCTTAAAAACAGAGTCAAATAATACACCTTAGCATATATTTAAAAGAAATGAACAATTCTTCCAGGAGAGCTGATAAATTTCTTAAAAATAAATATGCAAAGCCGGGCGCCGGTGGCTCACACCTGTAATCTTAGCTACTCAGGAAGCTGAGATCTGAGGATCATGGTTCAAAGCGAGGGCAGGAAACTCTGAGACTCTTATCTCCAATAAACCACAAGAAAACTGGAGGTGGCGCTGTGCCTCAAGCAGTAGAGTGCTTGCCTTGAGCTGAAGAGCACAGGGACAGCGCCCAAGCCCAGAGTTCAAGCCCCATGACCGACCAAAATAAATAAATAAATAGCATTCCACAAAATGGATATTCCATAATTTCTTCAATTAGTCTCGATTGCTAAAATATCCTATTATCTAAACACACAGGTCATGAACTCTTTAAGTTTCTTTAGCAACAGTGTTTTTCTTTTTTCTTTTTGGTCCAGTTGTGGGGCCTGAACTCTGGGCCTGGGCACTGTTGCTCAGCTCTTCAGCTCAAGGCTAGTGCTCTACCACTTGAGCCATAGCACCACTTCCGGCTTTTTCCCCCCCTGCTTATGTGGTGCTGGGGAATCAAACCCAGGGCCTCAGGCATGCAAGGCAAGCGCTCTACCACTGAGCCACCTTCCCAGCCCCGTGACAGTGTTTTTCTTTCTTTAGAACAGAACCTCAAAGTGAGAGCTGAGTCAAAATATACAGGTGTTATATAGTTTTAAAATGTAAATTTAATGAATTATAATAAAAATCGAGAGTACCAAATCCTAAATATACATTTTGCTAAACATTTACAAAGTGAACCGTCCACTGAAAAGACGATCGGAGTTGCAGAGTCCCTCTGTCTCTCTTCCTATCCACTTCACATTTCCCTGATAGTACTACCTGAATTCCAACATCACAGCTGAGTTCTACATAGGACTCTGTGGCATTTAATAGCCTGATAGTACTACCTGAATTCCAACATCACAGCTGAGTTCTACATAGGATTGTGTGGCATTTAATAGTATTGGACTTCTTTTACCTAACACTGACTTCAAGATTCTGTGTAGTTGATTACTCACAACATCAGCTGGTGTTCCATTATATGCATATATATAATCTAGCTCTTTCTGAGTAGTTCATTGGACATAAGAGTCTCATGGACTTTCCTGCCTGGGCTAGCTTTGAACTTCAATCCTCAGATAAGCTAGGATTACAGGCATAAGCCACTAGCACCCAGCTGACACTAGGTTTTTGAAGAAGATATTTACAGGATTTAAATATTTTGCTTATATAGGTCATTGCAATTCTCAGTTAAAAACATTTTCTAATTTCACTGTGGTGTTAAACTTTCCTATTATTGGTAGCATGCTAAGTAATATCCAATCCTTGGGGACAATGATTAATTTCTAGCTTAATTTCATTATGATCAGAAAACATTTTGGAATATATTATGAAATGTATTAAGAATTACTATGTTAGGGCTGGGAAGGTGGCTCAGTGGTAGAGCACTTGCCTTGCATGCCTGAGGCCCTGGGTTCGATTCCTCAGCACCACATAAGCAAAAAGAAAAAAGCCGGAAGTGGCACTGTGGCTCAAGTGGTAGAGCGCTAGCCTTGAGCTGAAGAGCTGAGGGACAGTGTCCAGGCCAACAGTTCAGGCCCCACAACCAGACCCCCCTCCCAAAAAAAAAAAAGAATTACTATGTTAATACATAATATGAGCAATTGGCTAAATGTTCCTTATACACTAGAAAATAATCTCTATTCTGGACTTTTTCAATGAAGTTTTCTGGATATACCAATAGTGACTTGTGTTGTTTAAATATAGTATCTTTACCAGTTTTCTGGTGATAAGAGTTTTCAGGAGGAAGCTATGATGAAGTCTCTTATCATTCTTAAGGATCTGTTAGTTTTACTGATTCTTACTTTACGTAGTTTGTGGCTATGCCATCAGGTAAATACAAATGTGCAATTGTTACTCTACCCATCTGCCACTGTGAATGTTGCTTTTTCTCTCTCTTCCAAGTCTCGCTCTCTTCTCTATTTAGCAGTACTAGGGATTGAATTCAGGGCCTCAAGCCATAATTGGTTTTCACACAGTGCTTTGAGAATTTGCCTCAACTGGCCTCAAAGCACAATTCTAACTCAACCTCCCATGTAGCTGGGATTATAGGCATTTGCTGCTACTACTCCTGGCTAGAACAGCTCTTGTTACTGTTAATAGAATATATATATATATATATATATATATTGCATTCTTATATTTAAAATATGTCACATAAGTAGCATATTATTGGGCTTTCAGTTTCGAATTTAGCTTTTTACTTAATATTTGCCTTTAATGGGAACATTCAATCCATTCATATTTAAAGCAATTGGTAATATAAAGGAGTTTAAATCTTTCCATTACTTTTTTCTACCCAATAATCTACTTCTATATTTCTTATCTTACATTGACAATTTTATGTCAATTTTATCATGGTATTCTCTGATCCTTTCTTTAAATATGTATTTCTCATTTAATAGATACTGAGAACCTTTATCATACTACAGAACATAAAGCATATCTTACACATTTTAACTCCCTTCCTTCATATTTTTGTACTATTTTTCATGAATTTTAATTTTACATGTATTTCTCACTCAAGAAATACTTTAATTACTGTTTTTCCACAAGCATTATTTCCCTCTAGCTTGGCATTTAGTTTTCATTACCCTCTATTTTCTTATGCTTCAGTGCTTTCATCTATTAAAAAGTCCCATTTCATTTATTTCAGCTTTGCTGTGACAAATTCTTTCAACTTCAGTTAGAATATTTTCAGAGAACTTTAAGTTTCAGGGTTGTTGTTTTTTTCAGTACCTTAAGGATGTTATTCTATCTTATGAGCTTCTTTACTTTCATGAAATCATCTGTCAGTCTTATTTATCTTTGTCCCTTTAAAAGGCAGTATGTGACCAATAAACATGAAAAAAAAAAGCTCAACTCCCTAGTAACAAGTTGAATGAAAGCTTAACTCATGAGGTGCTCAAAATGAAAATTATAAGACATCTAGAAACAAACAAATGTTGGCAATGATGTGAAAGACAGGAACAATTAAGCAATACCACTGAAACTCATACAGCCATGTAGGAAAGCATTAGGCAATATTTAATGAAGCAAAAAACCCCAAACAAATGGGTATTTACTAGTACCAAAAACTCTACTTCTGAACACATCTAAAACTGTTATATGTACAAGAAATATTCAGTGTTATTTTATGATAAGAAAACCTAGGGGAAAAAATATCCACTATTAAAAAAACTACATATAGGGCTGGTAGAGTGGCTAAAATGGTATCAAGCCTCAGTACCACAAACAAACAACAAAACTATATAACTGGTATATTCATTGGGAATGGACAGAAAGATTAAAACCATAAAAACCAAGCAGTGCTGTTAATAGATACATTTTTAAGACAGTGGTGTACCACTGGAAACAAGGGAGAAGATGCAGCTGAGAAAGCCGCACAGTTCCAAAGCATTGTATTTCTTTCTTTCTTTAAAGAAAGATTTATTTTTTTTTTTTCAAGAAAAACGTAAGATTCATTTCTGGAATGTGCATTTAAGTGACAAAGTAATTATTTTAAAGGAAGAAAAAATATTCAGACAAAAATATATCGGATTATTGTCTCTGGCTGAGAAGGGCATAAAATATTGACTTTTATTTTCGATGTTGCATAGAACAACACAATTTGCATTTTGTAGTAAACTAAAGTATGACTTTATGTCAATTGCTTATTTAGCCTTAGGCTACTTTATAAAACTTGAAATATTTATATTCTAAAACATGTAAGAAAATTCTTTAAATGCCTTGAGTTTTAGATCAAGCATGTAATATTAACAATAATCACACATATATGAAAAAATTAGAGGTTAGTGAAAGAAATTCTCTCTACTGCCAGGTGCTCTGGGTTAAAGTCTCCTCAATCAATTGAGTATAATCTTTATTTTGCCTTGACATCCTATAAATCCAGAGAAAAGATGTAAACATACATACACTAGACTAAACAGCGGCTAAAAAGTGGCCACTACTTGCTCTCCCACTCACACATACCATGGAAGTCTGTGGGAAAACTTAGAACTAAACTAAGGAACTCAAGTCAAGTTTTCTGAAAATAACCCAGAGCTGACAAGTCAGTAGGAGGGCCTGGATGGTTTCAAGACACAGTTTTTAACCAAGACTTGGACCTCCAACTGTTTTCTTAAACAAAGATTTACATCCCATCCTTGGCTAAATTACTTATAAATTAATCAAATTAATTACCCTGAGTGGATAAGCAGGAGGGCTGGACAAGACAGCGCTGATGTCAGCCGATGAAGTCTGTGTTGTTTTAACTAACTATAACAGCTTAGTTTTAAACAGATCTACTGTGCACAAATATGGTAAGGGACCCACATCCTACCTAGAATCTTAGTTCTGTTTCCTGTCCTGGGAACAAACATATCTAGCTTTTATATATTTGACATAGTAAAAATGTTTTCTACAACAAACTTATATTTTATAACAATGATTCATTTATTTTTTAAAGTAGTAGCTTTTATGCTGGTTATCTGAAACTACACTCTAAAGTGTTAAATGTTTTTAGATATATATGTGTATATAAATATATTATCAACTACAAATTAAGGATTAACAGATAGTCAAGTATTTGTGGATCAATTTCATTTTAAGTATTTGTGTTTTAAAATATTTGTACAGTGTATTTTCAAATTAGGGATAAGAAGAAACTAAGTCGTTCACAAGATATCTAACAAGTAGAACTTTTAGTGTTGTCTCAAGTTGTCTCAAGAATATGAGGTTATCATTTCCTTGTTTCCTAATTTAGGACTCATTTTATGTTATACTTATATATTACAACTATTCCTGTCTTGATTATGAAAGAAAACCTTTACAAAGCTTACAACTTGGAAACAAGCTTTTATGGTTGTGAATCAGAAGTTAAATTTTCTTCTAAATAATTAGAAGGTTATGATTTTTTAATTCACAAATTGACTTACTAGGTTACTTTTGAGTAATGGAAATCTTTGTTTAGACATTCTTTTGGCAATGGCTACCAAGCATTAGATCTTATTTCCAAGCTTTACCAGCTGCGTTTTGTCATTAACGTTTATTAACAATCTCAGATATGGCTTTCTCTGTCTAATCCGAACCACACAAATGTTTTGTATGGCCCTCCGGAGGGTTTTGATGTGACAAATTACTGGCAGAGATTATAGCCCCGTGGCTATTCACCAGAGGCAATGTAAAATTAACATGGTACTAATCCAATTTAAACAAGAAGTTGCACAAACAATTCTCTGAACAAAAGCAGAGAGACAATTCCAGTTTTACATCCAAACACAATAAATGTGCTTTTAATAAAAAGAATTTTAAGGAAAAATTTGAAGCAATTTTCACACAGATGAAATGTAGTGATTTGGTGGTTATTAATTTTAATCTTCCAAAAACAGCTAGTGGCGGAGCAAAATTCATTGTGGCGATCCCAAGGTTTATTACTTTTCTTCTGAAATTATTGCATCCCAGTGTGGTCTGCAAAACATCAATGATTCCTAGTGACCTTAAAATTTGTTTATGGTATTGCTTCTAAAGCATAACGTTTGTGGGATGAAGAATAAAAATGGTCCTCAATCAGAGAACAACAAACAACCCTGCACCAAGACTGAATGGTTACTTTCATTTCCTTTAATAAAGTCTAAGTTTAACAGTTTTCTATCCTAAACCAAGAGAAAGAAGGCATATGAAAACTACCTTGTCAAAGCTTTATTGGGCTAGATAGTAGAAAGAATAAAGTGAAAGTAGATGAATAAAATAGACAGCAAACAAGAGGAGGAGGATGACACTATTTTACGTTCAATATCCTCTTAAAAGAGATGACCTCAACATTCCAGTTAAGCAAGAACACGAATTATGAGCTCAGGCAATACCGTTTAGAACATTTTGACTCATATTTTAAAACCACCTCTGCTTGGTACAGTGGCTCATGCCTATAATCCAGCTACTTCAAGAGGCTAAGATCTGAGGATAGTGGTTCAAAGGCAGCCTGTGTAGAAATGTTTGCAAGACTCATCTCCAATTAACCACCAGATGTCACAAATGGAACTGTGGCTCAAGTGGTAAGAGCGCTACCATTGAGGAATGAACTCAGGGATAGCACTGAGGACCTGAATTCCAGCTCCAGGACCAGAACCACCGTCCCTCCACCCCCCCCCCCCCCCACACACACACACATACACACAATAGAACGCTACTACTGAGGAAATGAGCTAAGGAACAGCACCAAGGCCCTGAGTTCAAGACCCAGGGCCAGCACCACTCTCTCTCTCTCTCGCCTACAACCAACTTTAGAAAGGGCATAATATATAATATATACATACGAACAAGATTGTAACCTAGATATCTTGGCATCATGACTTTGAATTAATTTCTTCTACCTTAGTCACTTTGGTTTTCATGTTCACTGATTTGATAACATCAACATCAATGATGGCATTTACCTTACTAACTCATAACTACACTTCTCATTCAGTAAACTTGTCTTTCTTATTTTCTTCTCCTTGAAATTCTTTCATCCCATGGTTTCTTTGGACTAAAATAATAAAATCATGAAAGGGATGCAGCCTGAATTCTGTTTAAAGACTTGAATTCATATCTCTATCACTTAACACCTGTGTGATCACACACAACTTACCCTTAAGTCTCACATTCTTTCTTTATGAAATGAGAATACTACCAGCTTCATAAAGACGTTTATTAGGATTAAATGAAAAAAAAAAAAAAAAAAACTCTGAAGGGCTTATCTATCCCTGGGCAAACATAGCAAACATTAATACTATTTCACATCATAATTCTTTTTACCCTTTCTCTCTAGTTGGTATTTTTCTTCCTTAGTTTTTCCTCATCTTTAACATTAAGAATTCCAGGTTCTACCTCTGGTAGGCTCCTCAATCTCTCCTTTAGCCCAATCACACTCTCAAAAGATGCATATACCTTACTGCCTGCAGAATTTCAGTAAAACCTAAAATGTTCACATTTTTAATCTTATCTCTTTCCCGTATTTCAACTGGCTTCTTAACAACTATATTTCCATAAGTTAACACTCTTTCCAGATATTACACCTTGAGCCCTTTGCATTATCTTTGGCAAGAATGTTCTTGGTGTATACCCATGGCTGCCACCTCGCTCCTGAAGTGACCTCTAAAATGGATCTTCTGCATTTTACAAGAACAGACTATGCTTCTTTGTGATGAGCATGTTGTTCACTATGTTTGTATTACTCCCTCTACTTCCCTAAATACAACTAATTCCACCACTAAAATCCTGACTAATCATCTCTAGAGGGCTATCTCAAATACCTCTTCATTTATGACACCTTTTCAAAGTTCTATGTACTTTCCTTTCCTGAGTAATTTGTTTTCTTTTTTTTTCAGAGCAGTAAGTATTACTATCGTGTATTCCTTATTACTATATTCCAAACTACTCCCTGAGGGCAAGGCTTATGTCTTCCTTATATCTGTACCCTTAGTGCAGTGTCTTTAATTTAATATAGGATGTCCTAGTAATATAATAATGCCCATTCTCAGTCTTGCCAGAATTAAAACAATACACATTTAACACCAGATTTTGAAAATCCAAGCCCAAAACCTTATGAGTGCCAATACAAAATCAAAAGTAGTATAATTCACCTTCCTTTATTGTCTGGGTAGGAACACACAGACATGTAAAAAGCCAAAACGAAAACAACAAAAAACGCCTATCTTCTGCTATATGCTAAAAAAAATATATATGAAACAAATAGACTTTTGTTTATACCTAGGTACCTAGGTCCCATTCCCAAAATACTTCATTATATACATCTAAGCACCCTAAAATCTAAAAAATATGAAATTCAAAATACTTCTGGGCCCAAGCATTTTAAATAAGAGATACACAACCTGTATTTTCACTGTGTGGATATCTACGTGTCTTCATTTGTAATGTTTACAATCTCTACTTGTCTACAAGACACATTAGCATATACTTTTGAAATTCACACAGTCTAGCAGTCCTCTACAAAGGTGATAAGCATCACCTTAGTCATCACCCAAAGACAATCAATAGTATTTGATAATAATGGAGACAAATTAAGAAAAATACAAATCTAAAACTCACTATGCAACCAATATTCTAAATAAAATTCACACAAGAAAAAGCAAATTAAAAAAAGCAAACCATTACTAGTTCTTAAAAAGTTTTAGGTCAACAAAGTAACTTGTTCATGTTTTCTTCAACTTAATTATTTGAAGAAATTACACTTAAAGTTAAAATTAACTCCTTGAAACTAATAGTAGTTATCTACTAGCAGGAAGAATAAAAAAAAAAAAAAAAAAAAAAAAGCAAGAATTCTCAGTGAACTCACACCATGGTATAAATTGTTAAAATCATGCAATGATTGCTTAATTTCTTACCAGGGAATAATATTTTAAAACGTTTAAAATGCTTAAATGTTAACTTTGAGCTGCTTCCCTCCTTCCCTAGCACTGTGAATAGAAAGATTAATACCAAGAAGGAAAGAAGTACTTGTTTGTAAGTAGAAGTAAATTACTTCCAAAAGATAACTGGTAATTGATTGAAAATAAAAAGATCTAAAGGTCTTAGTTTTTAATTATAAAAAAGGAGGATCTTGTGTATAACACATTTAAAAAAGTCCTTACCTTCAAAAAACAGCATTGGAAATTGAAAAGAAAACATCTGAACATAAAAGATGTTGCCAGATAGAAAAACTTGTAAAGAAGTAGGGAAAAAGACAGAGAAAAAAAAATAGGCCATAAACAACATACCTGTTTAAGTCTGGCAAGTTCTTTCAAAGCTCGTCCCCACTGCTGCTTATAATGGAGTTTAGACTTAGTTGCAGATTCCAACTTTCTTTCAAGTTCAACCTAACAGTGATTAAAATTGTATCAAGTGAAACACTACACCACTGTGTACAATCACTGAAAGATAATATATACAAAGAGTCTGGCTTAAGAAAAGAGTTTATATAGTGAAACATACGACATCATCTAAAACTGTTATATAATTTACTATAAATATTATGGCACATGAACATTTTCTTGTTTAAAATATAGTCTTATTTTTATTGCCTAGCAGTCTACACTAAAAAGGACTGAATTAGTCTTAACCTCCAGACAGTTAACTATAAATGTACTCACATATGTATATTACATGGAATGAAAAATACATTTATGTTTTACAAAAAGCAGCTCTAACTGTTAACATTCCAATTTAGCTAGCACACTTTGAAACCCAATTTTCCTTTTAAAGTCCTCTCATTATGTGAAAATTTGTTTTATAATAAAGATAGATAATCGAGATACTTTTAATAACTATATTTTGGCAAAACTATTGAACATTAGAAATAGTACAATGTTTTTATCAAGAAGCCACTAAGAAAGAATGCAAAGTCAAAACTATTTCAAGAATTTAAACCCAAGAGTAAGAAAAACAATGTTCTTTAATAACACACGTTTAATTTTTACTTTTTATTTTTCCTCAAATCTATAAAGGAAAACAAAGTGATTCAATTAAAAACACGGTTATTTATACTTGCAGCAGGCATTCTGTTGTACATGAACTGAAGCCAACTTGGCTCTGCTTTGGAATGTACTCAGTGTTTCGAACCAAGTACCAAACAAATTCACGGAGCCAACAGACAGTTTTACTATTAAGTGATAATGTAACAAATCTGCTTGAATTACAGTAAAACACTGTTGCTCTGAACTGGTCAATTTTTTTTATATCAAGTGTAGTTTTTCCCATACATACAACTCCCAGTGTTGGATAGGAAAACAAAAATGAAGACACTATAAAAATTCCAACTTCAGAAAACTCATATGAAAATAAAAGAGAAACCAGAGTGCCAAACTTCCTTCACAGAAAACCAGAACACACTTTGTAGTAAAATATTTCTAAATAGAGTCAAGCTCTTTTCTGCTTTATAAATCCCTAGTGCTTGGATTTAGGTGTGTTGACATTTTACAACCTGACTCAAGCATTTTAAGTAGAATAATATTGCTGAGATTATTGGAGATAATCTCCTCCACTTATCTCTAAAGACTTACATACATTTCAAGATAATTTAACAACAGGCCATACCTCAGAAGAATAGAAAATATTTTCTATAGCTGTGAGATAAAAGAATAGTATTCAATTACAGAACAGATTTTGTCCATGACCTTGTCCTTGACTACGTCTAAATATCCTGCATGGGCCTAAGAGAGGTCTGATGGATCAGCTTTACTGAAAAATACCTGCCACATATATTAAAAGAATTCACATTTGCATAGTTGTTCTCAATAAAATACAAAGAGTTCTACATACAACTGTTTTATCTAACAAATAAAAATCTATCTAGCAAATCTAATATCCAAACATTATTCACCTAACTCATTTGATCATTTTTTCTTTTTTGGGGGGGGTGGGAGGGGAGTGGTCTCGGACCTTGAACTCTGGGCCTAGGCACTGTTCCTAAGCTCCTTTTGCTCAAAGCTACGCACTCAACCACTTGAGACACAGCATCACTTCTGGCTTTTTCTGTGATTAATTGGAGGTAGGAGTCTCATGGACTTTCCCGCTTGGGTTGGCTTTGATCCACAATCCTCAGATCTCAGCCTCCTAAGTAGTTAGGATTATAGGCGTGAGCCACCAACTGGCGCCCAGCCATTTTACCACTTTTTAAGGATATACATTTTATGATGTGAAAGAAATATGAGCCCAATTCCCAGAAAAATACACATAACCAATGCTATGATATAATTTCAAGGTATTCAACACCTTGAGTTAGGAGTTCTTATTATGAACTAGATTTGAGACACTTGCAAGCTTTTGCACTTGAGTTTTTCTTTTTGGCTTCTTGAGAGGGATTCTGGCTATGTTACCCCGACTTGCCTCAAACATGTGATCCTCTGGACTTAGCCTCCTAAGGGCAAAGATTATATGCATGAAACACCACACTCTGCTTGTACATTTTTTTTTTTTTTGCCAGTCCTGGGGCTTGAACTCAGGGCCTGGCCACTGTCCCTGAGCTTCTTTTGCTCAAGGCTAGCACTCTACCACTTGAGCCATAGCACAACTTCTAGCCTTTTCTGTGTATGTGGTGCTGAGGAAAATGGCTTCCTACATGCTAGACAAGCACTCTACCACTAAGCCATAGTTCCAGCTCCTTCCTTTTATTTAAGGGTTCATTGGTTCATGATTGAAGTAATTTACTTTGAGGCAAGTTATACACTTCTGCAAGGATAACAGCTAAAGACCTAGAGTCATTCAGAGACTACTGAACACTAAAAACACAGGTTAGCACTTATTGGTTCCCAATTTCCCTATTTCTACCCTTGACAGCCATAATTCAAGTTTTCTACTAGAGCTTTGGCATTGTTTTTGTTTCTAATCTATTTCAGTCTGTCACAAGGAATGACATATCTCTTGCTTGAAGTATTTTTTTTTGGGGGGGGGGGGGGTCCGGTCGTGGGGCCTGAACTCTGGGCCTGGGCTCTGTCCCTCAGCTCTTCAGCTCAAGGCTAGCGCTCTACCATTTGAGCCACAGAGCCACTTCTGGATTTTTTCTTTTTTCTTTTCTTTTCTTTTTTTTTTTTTTTTGCTTATGTGGTGCTGAGGAATCGAACCCAGGGCCTCAGGCATGAAAAGCAAGCACTCTACCACTGAGCCACCTTCCCAGCCCTTGCTTGAAGTATTTTCAGTTTGTATTTTATTATATTCCTACTGCCAATTCTTTAGCTCTGTCTCAACTCAACTTATCCTGAGGACCTTGTCTCACCAGCTTCAAATTTGTCCACAAATCTTGCCAACTCGATACCAATTCACTCTTTACTAAAAGATCAACTACTCTTTGCCTACAGTATTATGCTTACTCCTCCAACTACAGGATTTAAAGTTCTCACTTCATATGGAAATGTAATTTCCATACCTGCTCAACTTACTTGTTTAGTACTCCTCAAGAGGAAATCCATCTTCCTATGCCCTGCATGCTCCTCACCCACATTACCCTGGACCTTCCAAGTCTTTTCCTTTTCTGCTTATGTATCTTAAAGCTTAATTCTACCTCAACACAAGACTCTCTTAAATCTTCCAGTACTAAACACCAAAATTTGAGAATTGTCAAAGGCTTCTATCATAATCTTTGTATATTATTCACAGTTATTTACTGTTGAGTCACCTCCTTAATTTCGTAACATTTTTTAAAAGTTAAGCCCCAAAGGATTGTGTGTGTGTGTGTGTGTGTGTGTGTGTGTGTGTGTGTGTGTGTGTGTCTGATGGGGTTGTTTTTTTTTTTTTTTTGGTCAGTCGTGGGGATTGAACGATGGACTTGGGCACTATCCCTCAGCTCTTTTTGGCTCAAGGCTCTACTGCTTGAGCCACAGTGGTTTATTGGTTCTAGTGGTTTTTTGGAAATCAGAGTCTCACAGACTTTCCTGCCTGGGCTGGCTTTGAATCATGATCTTCAGATCTGAGCCTCCTGAGTAGCTAGGATTACAGGTGTGAGCCACTGGCATCGAGCTGTTTTGAGTTTTTGTTTTTTTTTTTTTGTGCCAATACTGGTGCTTGAAGTTAGAGCCTGGGTACTTGCTGTCTCTTAGTTTTTAACTCAAGGCTAATTAATGCTCTCGGATTTGAGCCACAATTCTACATCTGGCTTTTTGGTGGTTAACTAAGAATCTCATAGACTTTGCTGCCTGGGTTGGCTCTGAACCATGATCCTCAGGTCTCAGCCTCCTGGATAAGCGAGGATTACAGGCATGAACCACCAATGCCTGAATTTGATAATATACTTTATTCTCTTTTCTCCCTATTTGCCCTGAGAGTAGGCACACAATGCATACCAAATATTCTTAAATACACTACATAAATGAGCTAGATTAAAAATCTATGGAGTTTGAGGTGTGGCCAATGAGCAAAAGCATCAGATCAAGAGTCTGAATTCCAATTTCAGACAACAACAACAAAAAACACAAGCTCTGCATTTTCTAATTTGCTTTTTCTATCTTCAACTTGTGTAGGCCTTCCTAAATTATATGCTTTGCATATTTTATGTTTCTAAAGTGCCAATTATTTTTAAAGTATGTAAAAAGCATTTCCTAGGTAAAAGAAAGTCACAAAAATTATTATTCATTTCTTATATAATAGAATCAAGAATTACTTAGTAATTAGATAATGTTCATGGCATTTCTCTCCCTTTCCAGGAAAAGAGGGAATATATGTATTACATTGAAAAAATAGGGATCTAATAAAAGAAAAAAGCTGTCAATTCAAAATAATCAAAACTTACAGGCTAAGCAGATAGTTTTTTTTTCTTATGATTCTTTCTATTGCTTTTTAAGAAATAAAACTCTGCCCTCTTCTGGCTCCAAAAAGATTTACAAAGAATCTTCAGAAGAGTTGAGAAGTCTTAGAATAAAAATAATTTATTAGCTGATAAATTTATTAACTTAAATACCAAAGCAATTTAAGTAACCATTTCTCTTAATAGCACTGTTAATACTTTTAATATGTTTACTGATCTTTATCCTTTTAGCAAAAGGATAAAACTATGAAAAGTCATTTATAATTTATAGGTATGTATTCTGCAGTCAACCAGGCCACAATCAGAAATTACTATGGTAAGGCTCCAGTTATAATTTTGATATCTGGTGTCTGAATTTCCCAAGGTAAAATGAAAATACTTTGACACCTGTTTAAATGATGAGGGTTGTCTAATGAATGCTTCAAATATTTTTGGTAGGTACAATTTATAAACTCAAATTCTTTTTTATATCTGGTTTTATCAAAAAGGAATAAAAACTGCCCACCTCAATTCAAACTCACTTGTAAAGAAATACACAGATGGCCAAAAATGAAGAAATCATGAATGTTTCCAAATATTTAAGAAACAGAGTAAGGAGGCACTAAAACACCCTGGTGCATGACAGGCTCAGAAACATTCATCAAGCTCAGTAACACTACATGAATAACAATTTTCAGGGGAGGTGACTGGATTCAGTTTAAAACATTCTATGATAATCACTAAATCTAGGGTTTTAACCTCAAAGTTCTGGGAGGTTAATATGTTTTTCATAATAATGCAAAAGCACTGTCTTTTCTTCTTTCATTCACTTCTTGAGTATAAAGTGGACTTTTCCAAAGGTTATATGATGTGCACAGCAGCACAGCAGACTACAAAAGCAGGTAAGTGTCCTCTATCACCTGCATACTGAAGAGATGTACAAAAAGGTTAAATACTGTTATTTTCACAATTTTTGGTGTTTTGGGAGGGGGGTGGTCCAGTCGTGGGGCCTGAACTCTGGGGCTGGGCGCTGTCCCTCAGCTCTTCAGCGCAAGGCTAGCGCTCTACCACTTGAGCCACAGCGCCACTTCCGGCTTTTTTCTTTTTGCTTATGTGGTGCTGAGGAATCGAACCCAGGGCCTCATGCATGCAAGGCAAGCGCTCTACTGCTGAACCACCTTCCCAGCCCCGAAAATAATTATTTTTAATAAATGTTTTTGGTTACTGTGTACTATTTTGGATGAATAAAAATACTGAAGCAGGGGCTGGGAAGTTGGCTCAGTGGTAGAGCGCTCGCCTTGCATGCTTAAGGCCCTGGGTTCGATTCCTCAGCACCACATAAGCAGAAAGAAAAAAAAAAAGCCGGAAGTGGCGCTGTGGCTCAAGTGGTAGAGTGCTAGCCTTGAGCTGAAGAGCTGAGGGACAGCGCCCAGGCCAAGAGTTCAGGCCCCACAAAAAAAAAAAAAAAAGCTGAAGCATTTCTAGTTTTAATTTTTAATACAGTGATTACAAGTGTTTGTATTTTCAATAATTTTTAATATGTTATCATTAGATAAATTATCTTTTTCCTAAGACAAAAAACATATAAAGGGATCCTGTGTATAAAAAGGCCAAAACCAGTCTCTTAAGGCATTTAAGGAAAGCCTTTCACACACTTGGATTTCTTTTTTAATATAAAGATCAAAGTAGGCCAGGTGCCAGTGGCTCATGCCTGTAATCCTAGCTACTCAGGAGGCTGAGGTCTAAGGACCACGGTTCAAAGCCAGCCTGGGCTAAAAAGTCCCCATGAGACTTATCTCCAATTAAACATCAATATTACTCGAAGTGGCACTGTGGCTCAAAGTGGTAGAGCACTAGCCTTGAGCAAAAGAACTCAGGGACAGTGCCTAGGCCCTGAGTTAAAGCCCCACTACCAAAACCAACCAAACAACAAACAAAAAAACTATGGTTACCTCAACACTCTCCAATGGTGCCACAAGTTACTTAAATTTTATTTGTCAGTAAGAGCCAATGGTTAGGTAAAACAGTGTCCCAGGTTTTATGCCAAGCATTTTAGAACTATTAACTCATCTAATTCTTTAATCAATTTTACTAGCCTTGTTAAAAGACACAGAAGCAGAAAAGTAAAAGAACTAGCTAGCCCAAGGTAACAAAGCCAGAATTTGAACCAAAGTTAAGGAGTTGCCTGTTCATGTCAATAACTCTATAGATTCAAAGCAAACTTAGAACTCTGAACCTGTCATGATTTTAAAGGCTGCATTTTAAACCTTATCCTGTATAGTATTTCTCTAACTTACAGGTGCTCCCCGGGCACACTTCCCATAGCTCTCTACTTTGCTAGCTCCTTTTCTTCTCTCAGATCTCAATATATTTGTTCAGATTTAGGATGCCTACTGGACATCATATATTTTATAGTACCTCGCCCCCAAACATTATTTGTGGCAGAGTCCCAATACAAAATGAGAGGCAGGGTTTTACACTGAACCACAAAAACTAAAATGAGATCAATATTCCTCCTTCTCAGCTAAAAAGCTACAGGTCTATGCTTTGAACCAAATTTACAGGATACACAGAATAGTATATTGCAGTCAAAATTCTAAGAGTGCAGTAGTATGACCTAGAATCAGAGGATCCAGGACCCAGTGCATTCAGTATCAGAGGCATCCTAAAGCAGATTGACAGGACACTTGCTATTTCCTGCTTCCTAGATACTGTCTATGTTTTGAAACTGAGTTTTGTAAATGTCTTTGTTTCTAGAGTTAGATCTGTTTACAATCCAATGTAGTAATTAATGTAAGCTGTAACTGATATAACCCAACAGATTCAAATATTCACAGTACCATGTACCTTAAACCTTATATTTCTGATATTAGAAAATTATAGTGAAACATTATTACACTGTACACACACATAGGTATTGATTTTACAAACTGATTATTGCAACTAGCTAAAGTGACAAAAAAAAAAAAAAAAGACACAGTACCTTTTCCAAGGTGAGAAGATTTATTTCAGATTGGAGACGTATTTCTGGTTTGTTGTTTTGTTGATCCTTGAATTGTTGGAACTCTTTTTCCAAAAGCTTATATTTATTTTCAGCATCATTAAGCTGTATTTAAAGAAGTAGTTACAGCCATTTAAAAACAATCAGATGGCTATTACATGGAATTCAATTAAATCTCTTTTAAATTCTAAAGCATGTTCACATTAAAAATTTTTGGAAATGCAAAAAGTAAAATGAAGAAAATAAAAAAAAAATCTAAAAATTTAAGGCAAAGAGCTAAATAGTGAAGGAGTTCTAACAAGCTTTGCCTAGTGAGTTAATCAGTAGATGCAAAAATATTATATATTCTTATCCTTAACATCAGTCTCTAAAGAAAATAGTCAACACTTCATAAATTAAAAGAGGGAGAGGGAGGTTAAGCAAGGACACAGGATGACCCAATGCAACAATGATACTCACAAGACACTATGTTGGAAATGAACTCTACAACTTTGGCTGGGAGTGGGGAGGAGAGGGACGGGATAGCAGGAGAGAAAGGGAGTAACAATGTTCAACAAAAAATGTACTCATGACCTTACTCATGTAACTGTGACCCCTCTGTATAGCACCTTTACAATAAAATATAATTTTGTAAAAAATCAACATAAGCAGGGTGCCGGTGGCTCATACCTGTAATCCTAGCTACTCAGGAGGCTGAGATCTGAGGATCATGATTCAAAGCCAGCCCGGGCAGGAAAAGTCTGTGAGACTCTTATCTCCAATAAACCACTAGAAGACCAGAAGTGGCGCTGTGGCTCAAGCCTTAGAGCTCTCCTTGAGCTGAAGAACTGAGTAACAGCGTCCAGGCCCAGAGTTCCAGCCCCACGACCAAAAAAAAAAAAAAAAAAAAAAAAATCAATATAAAATGGAGAAAAGGGAGGGGGAGAAGAAAGAGGAAAGGCTAAATGGGGGGGATGACTGCCATAAATACTTTTTTTTCAAATCTGAAAATTTTGTTTTTATTAAATATAAAATTGTCTAAGATACCTTCCCAAGTCATACTGTAATGTGACCATCCATGATAGATCAGTCATCTCTTTCCTGAGATGTAAGATGTAACTAAAGATAAAATGCTGAAAAAAATTGTAAAAAGTGGCTATTAAACCATCACCGATTGTAATTAATATGTACCTCACATGTTTGGGTAGTGAGCTGTTTTCTATTTCCATATAGTTGAAGTTTAATTCTTTTTTATCGTTTAATGTTGTAAGAGTGATGTCAGAGGGGTCACAGTTACACGATTAAGGTAACGAGTACATTTCTTATGGAACACTGTTAGCCCCTCCTTTGTTCTGTCACCCCACCCCAAATTGTAAAAGTTCATTTCCAACACAGTGTCTTGGGAGTATCGCTGTTGCATTGTTTACCCTTTGTCCTTTGCCTATTTTGTGATTCCCTTTTCTGAAGTTTAATTCTTTTAATATCCAAAGTTCAAACCATTCTGAAGCACCTCTCTTCTGTTTTAAACAACAACAACAAAAGTAATAAACCTAATATTATACCAACACTACTAGTGACTCCGATAACTGCTTACTTTTACAAGTTTTTCACAACTTAGATCAGAATCCCATAGCAACAATCAAATTCATATTTATAACCACAGAAATAAAAGGACTGTCACTGACCCTAAGCTGCTGTCAGCTATTGTTCAAGACAGAAGACACTGAAGACACTTGTCAGACATATTTAATCAACAGTGGTATTTTAGAAGAAAGATAAGCTTAATTTTTAATGGTTTCATCTCTTTTTTTCTGCAAATATTTGAGTCCTTATCACTGTTGAAAATTAGTCTGGGCTCCAGACATATAATGGTTAAACCACAGAGTTACTATGAAGCAAACAATCTGACATTGATTAAATTATCATGCTAATGAAAATGAAAACTGATACATCCTAAAAAAATAACCCTAAAGTAATAGTCCATGACAACATTTAATAAGAACTGGAGTTCAAAGAGTTTTTGAGATAATAATGCTTTAGCTGAAAATTAAAAGAATGAATAGTTGTACTCATAAACTGACACAGTGACTGGTAACCCTTTTGTACAACCACCACAAAGTAATAAAAATATAATTTAAAAAATCTATTTGTTGATTTATTATTATTTTTCACCTTGGCAGTACTGGAATTTGAATTCAGGTCTTATACTTGACAAGAGGAAACGTAAATTTGGACATGGTAGGTCCTCATTTTTGTTAATATTTATAAAGTGACTATTTTTAGAGTTTGGGGTTTATTTTTTTGACCTGATCTTATTTTCAAAAAGAAGACATTTAAATTTAAGTGAAGAGTTAATATTTGAGAAAAACTAGATTTAAAAATATAGGAGGTAGACAGAAAAGCTGTGAAGGAACTGACAGTCATTTTCTGAATGTTTTCAAGAGTTTATTGTTTATATGGTTTTGTTATATTTTATAAAAATTTCCAGTAAGACTTATAATGTGGCTCAAACAGAACACCTGCCTAGCAAGCACAAGGATATTAGTTCAACCCAGTGTCCATTAAAAAAAAATGCTACACTGTTAACGCTTAAGATGATGTGTATACACATATCTACATATATACACATATATATGTATGCATGCACCCATGTCTGTTATCATACAATTCTATTTTTATATGTACAGATCTACAGTTAAAAAATATATTCTAATATGTTGATATAATTTGTTTTTCTTTAATATTCAAGTTAGTTTAGGCATTTTAGGGTTGTTGTTTTTTTTCTTTTGGTGGGTGATGGGGAGACATGGTCCTGTGATTTAGTGGAGATAAAGATTCACAGACTTTCCTGCCTGAGCTGGCTTCAAACCGTGACCCTCAGACCTCAGCTTACTAAGTACCTAGGCCTCCAGGCATGAGCCACTGGCCCCAGGAAGGTATTTCAGTTTTATAAACAACAATACTAAGAATATTTGTGTATATATACTTTGACTTGTCTAGCTTAAGAATAAAATCATAGGGTTGGGAAGGTGGCTCAGTGGAAGAGCGCGTGCCTTGCATGCATGAGGCCCTGGGTTCGATTCCTTAGCACCACATAAGCAAAAAAGAAAAAAGCCGGAAGTGGTGCTATGGCTCAAGTGGTAGTGTGCTAGCCTTGAGCCTTGAGCTGAAAAGCTGAGGGACAGCGCCCAGGCTCAGAGTTCAGGCCCCACGACCGGAACCCCCCCCCCCAAAAAAAAATAGTTTTAAGAGCAAAAAAATTATTCTAAGCTTTAACTTAGAAAACAAGATCCAAGATTAAATAAATTTGAATCGCATATGATTAATGGTCTAAATCAGTGAATTTTATCAACTTTTGGAGCACCTGCTGCTGAAGCCGGTGTTTATCCTCTTCCATCTGCCGAGTCTTCAACCTCTCCAGCTCCACTTGGTGAACACAGTCTTCTTTGGCTCTACGGATGGAGTCCTGAAGTTCTTGTAGGTTCCGCTCGCGTTCAGACTGCAGTTCCCTTTTCTCCCTTTGAACCTTAAAAACAAAAACATCCTTAACAGGTTGACCTATTACTAGCTGTGTCATACTGTGAAACAGTTGATCATCACTACCATCAGTGAAATGTTCAGAATACTTCTTAGTATTAGAGAGTTAATGTTTAGACAATCAATGTTTAAATATATGGTGAGATTAATGGAAAAAGGAAGGGTGGGAGAATACAGTCATTATATCCAATGTACACATGAGAAAATGGATCCATGAAGTTATGGGTAGGAGACAAAGATCGGAAGATGTGACATTGACCAAGATGCAGTGTACTTATAAACTTATCTATTGAACTGAACACCTTTGTAAAACTAAAGACAATAAAAAATACACAATGATTAAAATTGTTTATCACTTAATACATGAAACTATAAAAAATCCATATATAACCTGTATAAGCTCAAATGAAAATTCCCATTTGGATAAAGACTTTAGTACAATTATATAAAAGAAACATGCCTGAGGTTTTTTTTTAATTATAGAAACTGTTGATTCTTTGCCTAAGCACTTAGAAGATATATTTAAGTTTAAACCCTAAATCATTTAGAAATCTCAGAAATTAGACAGATTAGGATAGTTGCCCAAATTTTTAAGAAATATTATGGTTAGAGAATGGACATATAAATTTAATATAATACTATTTAAATTCATTTCTAGAAAAACTTTTTTTTAATATAATCTAGTTAAGACCTAATTTAATGCTAATTGTTAGGATGTAATCTTTCTTATGTTTTGAGAAAGAGTCTCCTATCTAGCTTAAGTTAGCCTTGAATTCATGATTCTCCTGCTTTAGCCCCCTGAGAGTATAGGGTTTACACTGCCACACTAGGCTCAGAATTCCATGTTTATCCACCCTTTCACATAATGGCGAAGTAAACCAAAAACTCCTATTATGGGAAGAAGTTAGCCCAGTTGGCTAAAAGAAGGTCAACCACTTCAAATAACAAACATTTTTCTACCCATTCCCATCAAAAAAAAATTTTTTTTTTGGTCCTGGGGCTTAAACTCAGGGCCTCAGCACAGTCTCTGAGCTCTTTTGTTCAAGGCTAGCACTCTACTACTTTAAGCCATAGTGCCACTTCCAGTTTTCTGGTGACTAATTGGAGACCAAAGTCTCATGGACTTTCCTGTCTGGGCTGGTTTTGAACTGCAATTCTCAGATCTCAGCCTCCTGAGTAGCTAGGATTACAGGGGTAAGCCACCAGCACCCGGCCCATTCCCAATGTTCTAATACATATGCTTTATTTAGTGAGTATCAGTTTTCCCTATAATGTCTGAAAAACAATTTCCATGATTTATAAAGTAAAAGAAAAATGGTATAATGTTTAGGCAGTAAAATAAAGATATGGTAGGTGAATGAAGTACCTCGGATTCTGCACTGGCCAGCTGCTGCTCTCGTTTCTCTAATTCAATTAGGGTTTTTTGAAGTTTTCCCTCTAGAATGCTATATTCAGCCACCTAAAACATAGAAAAAAGTTATTTACTTCTCTTATTCAAAATACAGAAAATCTGAAACACCTTATTATTTTATTGAAATAGGACCTAAGAATTGGAAAGAGTCAAAGTACATGCCTCAACTCAAAATATTCACTCAAAAGGAATGAAAACCATGTGCATTTGTTTGACTGTCTTTAAAAAATGTCTCAAAAAGACGCTTGTAGCCAAGAGTGCTTAGTCAAGCCAAGCTCCTAAATCTTCCAGTATTGTTCTTAATTACACTCTCATTTTTTAACTAATGCAGTTACTACGTTGGACAGCCAGCTGCAAATCAATTCTCTACTGCTTCAGAACAGTATGGAATGTCTTGTAGACATGAAGAAACAGGTACAAAGAAGTCTGCTTTTAAGGTCCAGAGTCCAATTCAGTGTAAGAAATCTACATACACAGCCTTGTAGAGCTCTCCTCTTGTGCGTGCGTGCGTGCGTGTTTTAATTTAGAACTTTCTAAATTAAATTGTTTGCTTTTGTCACTATCTAGTCTGAGGGCACATACACAGCCTTGTAGAGCTCTCCTCCTGTGCGTGCGTGCGTGTGCGTGCGTGTGCGTGCGTGCGTGCGTGCGTGCGTGCGTGCGTGCGTGTTTTAATTTAGAACTTTCTAAATTAAATTGTTTGCTTTTGCCACTATCTAGTCTGAGGGCACACCCCATCCCTTTGCTACTACCAATAAATGGCTGGTATGATGCTTCTCAGAGGGCTACTGTCCATTTAACCCTATTTCTACACATGGACAGAGAAAATGTATCTTCCTGTATTCAAATCTGGTAACAGCCAAATATCTTCTTAGTCTTTTTTCTTCTCCAAAATAAACACATATTTCCATCACTGGTCACATTATTATTCCCACATTCTTTAAAATGGAGAATCTAGGTCATTTTTATTAAGCCCTCTAAAATGATGTTCTGTTAATTGTACCATTTACTTTTTTGGTGTATCTAAAAACATGCTAAGGATGCTTTCCATCCGTAACCAAATCATTATCACAACTATTCAAATATTTGGGTTCTCACCAGAGTTCTGCTTCTGGAGGCCTCTTAGGTGATCTCATCTTCCTACCATCACATATATTAAGAACTCCCAAATTTGAATTACAAAGTCAAATCTCCTCTAGAGTTTCAGGCCTGAAAACCTAAACAATATTTGCTATACATTGTTATTTTTCATGTCACAAACTAAAAAAATTAAAAACTTGAAATCATTCTATACATTTAACATTCACTAAGCAAAACAAGGTTGTATTCTTGGTAAAGGTAAAATATAAATAAGCAAATGCTTGTTTATTTATTTTGGGAGCACTGGGGTTTGATCTCAAGGCCTTATGCTTGCTAGGCAAGCACTTTTTTATCACTTGATCACTTGAGCCACTCCCTCCACCCTTTTCATTTTTGGATAGGGTCTTGCTTTTTCCCCTGGTGGCTCCCATAGCAGAAGCACATTACCTACGTAGCTTTTTAAGTTAACTTTTGGTTAAGATGGGTATCTCATGATCTTTTCGCCTGTGCTGGCCTCAAAACATGATTCCCAGCTTCCCAAGTAGCTAGGATTACAAGGGTGATCTACTATGCCAAGCCACAAGTGCATATTTAATACCAGTCAATGCTATGAAGAATGAGAACAGAGTGCCAGGGGACAAAAGCAGGGCATTACTTTGGATGTGGTAGTCAGAGAAGGCCTCAGAAGTTATTCTAAGCAGAAACCAAACTGTAGCTCCAGAAGAAAGTGTTTCACAGATCTTTAGGAGGGAGGCAGCTCAGCACGTCTGAGGCACAACCAGAAGCTCAGAGTGGTTGGCACAGGAGAAAATGGACAGAGACCATGCAAAGACTTGCACATACTACTAAGAATTTCCCATTTTATTCTAAGTATAAGGCGCAGTATAATGAGTTCTGAACAGAGGAGTACATTATTCTGTCTTATATTTTAAAAGCTCCACTTTTGGACCAATATGTATATAACAAGGTACAGGGGCCAGGAAATGGGTATAACATGAAAGAGAATTAAGGGTGAATTAGTTTGTACATTGAGTAAATAAATGAATAAAAGGCATTATTATTTGTTAAGATGGAAAAAAATCAAAAGGAACAAATTTCTAGAGAATAGAAGTAAAATAGCCAAGTATAGAATCCAGGACAGAAGCTAAATTTGGAAATGGAAAGAGGTGTTTATCAGAGGTGAATGATTTGATTTACATAATGCTGAGATCACCAAAGGAGTTAGTCTATATAGAGAAAAAGAATATAGTCAAGGACTGGTTCCAGGAATAAGCCAAAATATGTAGAGGATGGATCTAGTAGAATAGTAGAACACAGGAAAGCCAAGTCAAGCAAGCTTTTAAAAAGCTCACACTGGTAAAGATGAAGGAGGACAGTTTGTGAAGAGACAACCTGTGTGGATTCACTGTTCTTGAGGGTCAGACAATGAACAGACCGGGAACACACCAGGACTACAGGGGAGCACTGAGGACCCCTCTAGGTATAAGGATGCAAACGTCCTTTCATCCTCTTCAATATCCACCCCCCCTTCTCTGTAATCCTATATTCACGTACAGCTTCCATTTTCATTTATAAATATTGCTTTCCACGTCTCCCTGACTTTAATATCCACTTTCCTCTTTTCTATCTACTCTTCTATCAGAATGACTAAAATAATTATTTATTTATCTAAATAAAAATATCCTTTTAAAACAGTGTTTCTCCAAAGAACTCCCACTCATCTGGTAGAACCACTACTAAATATCCCCATGCTGCTGATCACATGTATGGTGTATATGTGTACACTGTTATATGTTAAAGACTGTGATAGACAATTTGCTCCAGGAAAGTTAGAATGAACTTGTGACTTTAAATGAGCATCATTATTCCACAATACTGTGAAATTTGAGAAATTATGTAATCACTTAATCACAATTTTAAAAAAAAAGAACCTCAGGGAAGGTAGGGAGGGAAGGGATGGTAGGGGGAAAACAATGGAGGGGGTAACAATGCTCAATAGGAAGTGTACTCATTACCTTGCTCATGTAACTGTAACCCTCTGTATAGTATCTTTACAATAAAAAATTTAAAAAAAAAGTGTTTCTCAAATCTCCATCGTTCTCAACTAGGATTCATCATCTGCACCACAGAGCACAGAAAATTAACTATCTTTCTTTCTGGAGATGGTATATAATTCTACCAATCTAGATGCATGAGAGAAAGTTAATTCTTTACCAACAATGGGCATGTTAGGTCACAAGGACTTCATTCTCTCCTGAATACTGGCTAGAAAAGCCTTCACATAATCTAGTCTAAACTTCAATTTTTTATTTTCATTTTTTAAATATATTTTATTGTAAAGGTCATATACAGAGGGGTTATAGTTACATAGGTCAGTACATTTCTTTTTGAACAGTGTCATCTCTTCCCTCATTTTCTCCCAGTTTTGTCCCTCCCCTGACAACCTATCCCACTTTATATTTTGAACACACTTTCTCCTCCCATCTAACATCAAAATATGCACAATTTCTTAATGCAATAGTCCTACACTGAAATAAAACTTTGTTTGCTTGTGTGGAAAGCCCATCAAAAGCACTGGAGGTAACTTCTCAATTTCAGCAACGAGGTACTTGTATTATCTACGAAAGCCTCCTCATAATCTCTTATGTAGGACTCATGTCCTCCTTTGGGCGGGGGCTGAGAGTGCTCATAGATGAGACCACTATAGGCAGTACCATGTAAAACAGAGATCAGGTATACCCATACTCCTTCAGGCACACTTTCCAAGTATTAAAGACATTACACATAGACCCAACAACCTTCAGAAACAACTCAAACATTATGGACATAAAATTCTACAGTTGATTCACAGAGAATTTTACTTTAAACATCTCATATTGAAGAAGAACTATTCGTTTCTCCCTATTGACTTGACTTTACAGTGGCTTCTAAGATTATTTAAGACCAATTACGGATGTTAACACATCCTAGCTGATAATGTTCTTTCAAAATAGGGCACTTTAAGACAAATGAAGTATTTAGTCCCAAAATGCACGTTGGTTGAAAGAAAATGGTAAATTCAAGTCTACTTTTCCAATATGACTAATTCAAATAAATAGTTCAAATACTTATTAGGCATCCACCACCATCTTTATTCTGATTAGAGTTCCTAGTAGCTCAGAGTTCATGAATTCAAGCTGGGATGGAGGAAATAATTGTATAGATGGAATAAATTCCCAACAGAAAAAAGAAATCACTATTACCATTTTAGGTAACAAACCAAAACTTTCAACTTGATTTTTTTTTTTCCTGACTCTATTGAAAATAACTATTTCTTGTAAAACTATGTTCAGTTATGTCATAAGTTGAAATTGTCACTATATGTCCAATTTTATTAACTTTCCAAATTTGATCATTATTTGAATTTTGCAAACCTGAATATTAAAAGGACTCTATCATGGAACAAATGATTCAAGGATAAGCTGACTTATCTTCAGCACATTAACATATTGCCCAGAGCTCTAGAATTCCATTAATATGCAATACATGAGATCTGTACTTATTACTTAGTATAAAACTCACATACTTTTTGTTTGGGCTAGCCTCCCCCTCTCTTCCTCCAGAATAAATCCTCAGATGATCATTTTAAAAGATACATCTAGGTAGGAAGTGGTACTGTGGCTCAAGTGGTAGAGTGCTCACTATGAACTGAAGAGCTCAGGGACAGGGCCCAAGCCCAGAGTTCAAGCCCCACGACCGACAAAAAAACCAAACAAACAAAAACAAAACAAAACAAAAAGATACGTCTAAAACTGGGTCACAGACTCATTGCTGCTGCCCTGGCCTGGCTTGGTATAGACCACTGGGCAGCCCCTGCAGAAAGCATTCTGCCACACATTCAAAGGTGGATCCAATGGGGCCAGCATGCTCTTGCTTAACTCCGGTGGAGCAGAAGCATACCTGTGGTTCAGCTGGTCAGCGAGAGTACAATCGCGCTGCTGTATGAGAGTGACCACCCCTTGGCAGAAGGTCAGGAGCACCTTTTAGAGGTAGGATAGGCCAACAGTGGCTCTTTACTTGCTTTTGAGTTCTTTTGCAAAAAAAAGAAAGGCTTTGGGCTGGGAAGGTGGCTCAGTGGTAGAGTGCTTGCCTTGCATGCATGAGGCTCTGGGTTCGATTCCTCAGCACCACATAAGCAGAAAAGGCCAGAAGTGGTGCTCTGGCTCAAGTGGTACAGCGCTCACCTTGAGGGACAGCACCCAGGCCCAGAATTCAGGCCCCACAACAGAGGAAAAAAAAAGAAAGAAAGAAAACAAAGGCTTTAACACTTGTTATTTAATTGCAGCCGCCTGAGCACTATCCCTTTGCTTCACAAGCAGTCCCTAGTCTTCTGCTGGTATGTGCTATACCAGAAAATATGGCCTCACAGGGCTCTTGCATACACTTCAGCTCTGGTTCCAGTGCCAATGTCTGCTTGTCTTCAGATGTGCAGACCTTGTCTACACCATGCTCATCTTCCTTTGATCTTCCCACCAGTTGGGGGCCTATTCTCAGAGGTCAAAAGCTGCATCACTTAGATCAGCAGGCCCTAGATGGAACCACCGGCCAAAGTACTCTGCAAATCTGCAACACCAGCAGGTTGGGACTTTACGCAGCACAGACTTAGGATTCAGAATGCCTGTGGTCTGGCTTCCTGCCCATCCTCCTACCAGAGCATCTCTTTCTGAAGCGTATCTCTGCAGTAGGTCCTAATTATATAATGTGAAGACTTGTTTTTACTGTGTCACTTGATATGGTAAAATCAACTGGTCCCACCTGTCACTTGATATGGTAAAATCAGCTGGTCTCCAGAGCCTTGTTGTTTCTGAGCTCCTTTCCTGCCTTCCTTCACTAAGATTGGATTTGCTAACAGAAAAGAAACCTTGAGTTCAAGGAGGCATCCTATCAGTCTCTGGCCCATCATATCAGTGTCATACCCATACAATATAGACGAGGTTTTCAGAACAGAACAGACAGATGCAGCAGCTAGAACTGCAGACTAGCCCCTTGGTAAACAGGATCCAACTAGTTTAAAGTAAAAGGAAGGCCAGCATGGGATAGGTGGATGCCTGACAGGCAAGGGCTTCCCTTGGGCAGCTGTTATTTGTGATCACTTCGTAAGGAGATAGATGCTGTGTTTTAGAATATAAGGAACAAGGCTGAAATTGTAAATACTTTGTAACACAAGCATTTGTATTTGAAGAGTAGGATTTTAAAGGATACTGATGTTCTACCAAACAAAAGTCATAAAAACGTCCTGTTTTCATTTAAAAAACAAAACAAAACAACAAAGCAAAAAAAAGGCCTTATTTCATGATTGAATTCTTAAAAACAGCTAAAAAAAAAAAGGGGTGCTTTTTATTCATTTACAGGTTACAATGTAATTTTTACATATATGTAAAAATGTGCTATTTTCTTTTTTATAAAAGAGGCAATATTTTTTGTTTTTAAAGTCCTGTGTAAGACATCTGCCACTTCAAAATGTAGAAAGATAAAATCACAGTGGTATCTGACTTATCCATCTACCTCACCTATGTCAATACAACCCATTATGCAGACTATCTTTCCAAAGGTTTTCTTTAAAGCAGATACAAGGTATTATCATTAGAATTCTTCCCCTCCTCCCTCAAGTTTCCACAAGTTATCACCTTTTTCTTCACTAACGATTCTCTTTCTCGGTCTCTTTTTTTCCACTCCTCAGCAAGAGCTTGCATATGAGCCAATTCTTTCTGCTTCAACTACCAAGGGTAAAAACAGAGTTGTTAAAAGAAACTCCAAATATTTCAAATCAACAATGAACCTAATATTTTTACAGGAATTTTATTTTTTTGGTAAAAATAGAAATTGCTTGAGGGAAACAACATCCATGTAAGCAGAAGAAAATTAAGTGGTTCTGTTTTCTAATCCTCTCCTTTAGTGACTATTAGTCCAAGTTCCAAATGAGTAGACCACGTAAGAATCTGAGCTAAAAGAATAATAAACTATTAATTTTGACAAAATTCAGTGAAAGTCTTATGCCAAATTTTCCTATTTTAAATGTTTATTCTGTTTTTCTTTAACAGAAGGCATTGTTGACATCTAAGCAAAACAGGTAAGAATATGGAAAGAAAACCTACTAACAGAAAAGGAAAAATATACCAAGTACACAAGAATAGATTTTTTTAAAGTAACCTGATTTTCAAAAATGTCTTCTTGCATCTCCTTCCACATCTCCAGCTCAAGGGCTGCTTTGTATTCCAAAGTTTCGCGAGGCTCCAGCTGAACCTCTGAGGGACAAGGTGCTGGAGGAAGTGAAGGTGTCTTCTGTTGTACAGTAGATAAACCCTAACAAAGATGACAAAGCACAGTTTTAATCACATTCTCACATTAAGTCCCTCTTAAGGCATTTGATAAGACTCCATTATATTTACCTGAGATGAAGACTCAGAGACAAAAATCTCACGCATTTTTACTAGTCCATAATCTTCTAGAATCACTGTGTAAGAAAGGTCTACTATCCTGTTATTTGCCCTACAAGGGAAATAAAAAGTATCTTAAAAGCCACAGACACACTTTTATGTTATTCTTCCTTTTACTTCTCCATTCAGTACTCTAATACTCAGGAGTAAGCAACATAACTTATACCTGACACCTCTGCTGCTGAAACTCCAATAGTCTTTAGACTTCAAGATCTCCCAAACACATGCTCCTTTGTTTTTCTCCTAAAGTGGTAGTAGTATTATAGCAGTATGTTTTTGGTTTTTTTTTTATTGTGAAAATACTATATAGAGGGGTTACAATTACATGGGCAAGATAATGAGTACATTTCTTATTAAGCATTGTAGCCTCCTTTGTTTCCCCTTCCCATTCCTTCCCATCCTCCCCTCCCTACCACCAAAGTTGTAAAGTTCATTTTCGACATAAAGACTTGTACATTTCATTGTTGCAATGGGTCCACCTGTATCCCTATTTAAACAATTTGTTTTTCCCCTTCCCCTCCACAAATTATACAGACATCAAATACAGTGAAAGCAGGGGTTATACTGTGGGGGAGGGACATACAAAGCAACAAAGATTTTTTTTTTTTTACTTCAGAATGCAAGCAATAAAATTAAAAGACAAACAAACCTGATCAGCCAAAACATGAAACAGTAAGGCTGGGGTTTGTTAATCAGAATGCCTATAAAAGTAAAAAACGGTGCAGAAGATACATTACCCCTGTGCTGCTATAACAGGCACACTCTCACTGTATGTTTGGCGCCAGCACTGTTCACCATTTGAGCCTAAAAATCGAGTTTTTTCTGAAGACAAGATGTTAGAAAGCTGGATTCTTGCAACACCCAGGAGTAAGTCTTTACTCATTTTATCCTTGTGCCACAATTCAACGAGCAGGGGAATCCTAAGGAAAAGAAAAACATGAGTTCTCATCTGCCAGTCCTCCGCTAGAGCCTTTTCTCAACTAAAATCTTGGCATACCCTAAGGCAGGAAATTATTGTCGGACTTACTGTTAACTTATTGCTAACTTATTGTTAGACTTGCTGCTTTTACCTAGAAAATAATCTAACAAAACTGTTAAAGGCTCAATTTCACAGGCAACCAGCATGAAGAACTAATTTGTTTCTATATTGCTTTTAGGCAATATATAAATTGTTGTAATTCCCACAATGGTTATAAAATTTGTGACTCCTACATTTTTCCTTTAGGACTGTATTATTTTGGATTATTATATTCTATGAAAGTAAAAAATGTTGGGCTGGGAAAGTGACTCAGTGGTAGAGCGCTTGCCTTGCATGCCTGAGGCCCTGGGTTCGATTCCTCAGCACCATCTAAGCAAAAAGAAAAAAGCCAGAAGTGGTGCTGTGGCTCAAGTGGTAGAGCACTAGCCTTGAGCTGAAGAGCTGAGGGACAGTACCCAAGCCCAGAGTACAAGCCCCACGACTGGACCCCCCCAAAAAATTGTGGAAAGTAAAAAATGTTTTATAGGTCTCATTTTCCTTTGAACATCTATTTCAAATGGCTAGATTTTTATATGTGAAAAACAGTAGAAAAATTTGGGCACTGGTGGCTCACACCTATAATCTTAGCTATTTAGGAGACTGAAATCTGAGGATAGTGGTTCAAAGCCAGCTGGGGCAGAAAAGTCCATGAAACTCTTTATCTCCAATAAACTACTCAGAAAAAGCCAGAAGTGGCCCTGTGGCTGAAGTGGTAGAACAGTAGCCTTTAGCACAAAAGGACACAGGGACAGCACCCAGGCCCTGAGTTTAAGCCCCAGGACCAACAAAACGAAAAAAAAAAAAAAAAAAAAAGAAATTAAGTAACATACTACAGTTAACTTCGTGACTCAAGCAAAGCTAAATATTTTTATTTATCTTCTTATGTAAAGAAAACACCACTATACTTAAAGCTTCCTCATTAATCACAGATTTTTTTTTTTAACAAACTTTAAGTATCTAAACTCAGGCAAACAGATTTTATAACAAACCTGTAAGTGTGTGGTAAAAGTGAAAATATCAGTTACAGTACCAGTAAATTTGTTTGATTCTCAATTTCATACAGTGCTATGGATTTAAGCCTAGATACCAAATTTTCAAGTACTGACCTGGGAAAACAAAACAAAAAAATCCACATAATGTACACATTACCGTAAGAAGGTGTCCTGCAGCTGATGAGGCACAGTTGCAAAATCAAATGCACAGTAAGACTGGGGGAGAAAAACTTCCATGTTCTTCCGAACTTCCACAGGGGGGTTAGTCATGATAGGAGCTGCACTTCCGAAGAATGGATAGGAGTACCTAGAATGTAAGAAATAGAAAGTGTTACTGTACCATCTATACAGCAGTCTTCACGTCTGGATTTAAAAACTATACCATTTAAAAACTATAACCAATTTTTAAATGAAAAATAATAGGAACGCTGAGCTATAATTTAAGAGTTGCTTGTCAGTGCACAGTCCTTTTTCATCTTTGCATTCCCACAAATAAGCAAGCAGCTTCTGCCATGTATTATGTGCTCATTAAATGCTGGGCCAGGCGGGTGCCTCGCAAATGTAATTGGGAGGATCACATTTTGAGGCTAGCCCAGGCAACAATTATATTTCACTAAGCCAGGCATAGCAGTACACACATTACCCACGTATAGCTCTAAGTAGGCCAGGATCCCAGTGCAATACCCTACTTGAAAAATAACTAATGGTAAGAAGGGCTGGGGATATGGCTCAGGGGCAGAGCATCTGCCTTTTCTGCATAAGGCCCTGGGTTAAACTCCAGGATGACCAAGAAAATGAACAGCAGGGAGGGTAGCTGGCTTGCTAAATCTAATTTCCTTTTTTTAGCTGTATTTTTTTTCTTTTCTTTTTTTGGTACTAGGGATTGAACCCAGGACATTGCACTTGCTAGGCAAGCGCTTGGCCACTGAGCTGCATCCCAGCCTGCTAAACTAATCTCTAAACCTACTTTCCTTTAGACAATCAGGTCCTGATATTTATTAGTCAGTATAAAAGAATTCATAATGATTTGTCTCTGAACAGAGAATCAGGATAAAAGTAATTCAAATGTATACTAGATGAGTCAGAGTAACATCACACTATTTCTTTTTTCGTTTCTTAAAACCATAGTAAACTAAATGAAGAATGCCTGACTACTGCTAAACTAACTCTGTATTTAAAGCCAAATATAGCTGGGTGTGGTGGTACATGCCTATAATTCCAATTACTTGGGAGGTGGAAGAAAGACAATTATGGTTTGAGGCTAGCCTGGGCAACATTAGTGCTAGATCATATCTGAGAAAAACAAAGAAACAAACAAGAAAGAGAAAGAGGGAGATAGGGGAGAGGGAGATGGGGTGGGAGGAGAGAGAGGGAGGGAATGGGGGAGGGCAGGAGAGGTGAGGGAGAGGGAAAGGGGAGAGGGGAGGGAAAGGAGATAGGGGAAGGGAGGGAGGGAGAGAGAAGGGAGGGAGGGAAAGGGGAGAAGAGAGGAAAGGGGGAGGGAAGAAAGGAAGGAAGAGGAGAAGAGAGGGGGCAAGCAAGCAAAAGAAAAAATCGGATTTAGGGGTATGAATCAACTAGTAAAGTATTTGAGTTCAATTCTCAGTACTGATAATAAAACCAAATTAAAATATTTCAATGCTTGCTTAAATCCCATACCACATCATATATCCATATATAAAATACCACTTAAATTCTAGTAAAAATTGTTTCCAACAAAAAGAATTCCTATGTGTTCACCTATATTATTTACCCAATTCTACTGACATCAACCTATGTCAGAGGGAGTTCATGTACTAGAATTTCAATTCCTATTGCCTTACTATAGGACAGGAAAGTAGTTCTATGTAGTGTTCAGTGGGCAGTAACTACATATTATTTCCTAACAATACAATTTCCTTTTCTTTACCAAGTGAACTACAGTTCTCATAATTTGACTTGTTTATGAATCTGTCACCCACAAAAGTTGAGTTGTGCATGTGGCTCATGGACTGTAACAGTGCATCACACAGACATTCAGTGATTAAACAAGTGGTCCTGATAGCAAGCAGCAAACACGGGTAAGTGTGAATGTTTTCTTTACAGGCCTGGTTAAGACTTCCTCTCCTGTATCTAATCCAACATCTTCTCCAGATTTCTTACAGTCAAATTCTCCAGCAACAGCAGCAGCACAGAGATCTTAGCTAAGAGTAAAGGGTAGAAAAGGCAAAAACAAACCCCCCAAAAGTGGACATTAAGTAGTAATTCTATTTTTTTTTTTTTTTTTGGGTCCGGTTGTGAGGCCTGAACTCTGGGCCGGGCGCTGTCCCTCAGCTCTTCAGCTCAAGGCTAGCGCTCTACCACTTGAGCCACAGCGCCACTTCCGGCTTTTTTCTGCTTATATGGTGGTGAGGAATCGAACCCAGGGCCTCATGCGTGCAAGGCAAGCACTCTACCACTGAGCCACCTTCCCACCCCCGTAATTCTATTTTTGAAATAAAGAAAACCTTTTGGGAAAAGCTATGTCCATGAGAGAAAATCTATTTTCCATCTTGAATTTCTAGATTAAAAAAACAACAGGAAAGATTTTTAGCATTTAACATATCAAATGCAAAACTGAGTCTAAGCTGGGAAAATACAGTTTTTCAATTCTGCAAACATAATCATGCTCAGTGTGAGCTCCATTATTCATAACGAAGTATTGGGGGAACTGGAAATGACTCTAGAAAACATTAGATGGTGGGAAAATCAGGTGCAAGACTTGAATGCAGGTATGCATCAAGGAAAGGCAGGAACAGTGTGTAGCTGCTGAGACTCCATGTCAGCATTCTGAGATGACAATAACATTTTCTCTCCTTTTGTTTTGCTAGTATTGGCCTAAAAGTCATGGCTTGGGCACAGTCTCTGAGCTTTTTCAGCTCAAGTCTAACACTCTACAACTTAAGCCACAGCTCTACTTCTGGCCTTGTGGTGGTTAATTGGAAATAAGAGTCTCATGGATTTTCCTGCCCAAACTGGCTTTGAGCTGCAATCCTCCTCAGATCTCAGTCTCCTGAGTAACTAGGCTTATAGGTGTGAGCTAATGACACTGAGCCTTCCTCACTTTCGTCATGGAAAACAAGCACTTTATGTCACATGCTATTCCATGAGTCAAAGAAATTTATGAGAAAGAGAAGCTAAAGACTACAAACACATTCCTGTGTTACATTTAATTTACATCTCAGTTAAAAACTATGAAAATTTAACATTATTAAAACAGGCTATTGATAAAGGTATTTATGTATCAAATGTGGACATTCTATGTAAGCTCATTAAGATGGTTTTGATTTGTAACTATAATATGTACATATAAGGAAAATAAGCCTCCCACTGTAATTATTTTATGGAAAAATTAGATACTGTCGTATCATTACTTTGACTTGTAGCATTTCCTTCCAGAAAACTACAACAGAAACCCTCTGAAGTTCAAGAGCACTACATTTTAAATGTCAACATCAATAAATGATTACAAATATGTACAACTATAATATTAGAATAGATAAGACTGGTACCTTTCATACCACCAATGCCACTTCAAGTTCAAAGTCACTAGAATATTGCCTTACTTCCTGTTCATGCCACAGGTTAAACGAAAGTTTTAATTCTTTGGTGACATTTCTCTGCAGTTTCCCAAGGCAGAAGAAAGACATTTCTCCTCACATAAAATCAAATCACACCTTAATATACAGTTGACAGGATAGCCAATTTCCAAGCCATGGATACTCCTCAAGTCTATGGAAAAGCAAAAATGATGTGATGTTGCTGGAACAGCAATCTTCTGTCGTGAAGCTGTTTCTGAAACATTGGATGGAGCCACTGGCTGGGCCACTGAAGCAGGTAGAGAAGAACTAATACCTAAAATGAACACAAAAATTTAAAAACCACCACCAATAAGCAAACAAAAGAAATTCAGATGATTTAAAGCTATTTATCTTCAAGCAAGGAGGAATTTGACTATTTTTATGAACTTATAACTACAGACATGAACATCTTTAAATGTCCTACCCCAAACTAAATTTTAATTTTAGAATAAATATAAAGATCTGAAAGGTGTATGCCTGTGCAAGCTTATAATCCCAAAACTCAAGAGGCTTAGCCAGGAAGAGTGCAGGTTTGAACCTAGTTTAGCTACATAGGGCCATACTGGAGATCTAATAACATCACTCTTTAAGCAAGTTGCAATTATTTCCAGAACAAATAAAATAGTTCCAAAAGAGTTAGAACTTAATTGGATTGTGATGCTTAATAAGAACAGCTACTCAAATAAACCTTGTACCCCAAACTTCTAATTCCTAACCCAGCATTACTTTCTATACTAGTAGTTACAATGGTAGACTTTTATCAATGGATAGAAAAACTTTATAAAACCAGATATAAACATTCTCAGATCCTATATAATCAAAAATAATTATGACTTTACAAGATAAAGCAGTTACTAGCTCTTTTCTCTAAAATTCCAGATAACTTATTTTTTTTACGTTACTAGTTTAAAACCTTCTTGAGCTGGGGCTAGCGGCTCATGCCTATCATCTCAGCTACTTGTGACATAGCCAACAAGATGGCAGTCAAAATCAAGGCCAGCATAGGTAAAAAGTTAATGAGACCCCCCCCCTCCCCCAAACCAAACAACAGTTGAATGTAGTGGCACACATCTGTCATCCTAGCAACACAGACCCTATTCCAAAAATAAAGCAAAAAGGACTGGGGGGCCTGGCTCAGGTTAATTCTCCAGCACCATTAAAAAAAATAAATCTATTTGAAAGAATTACATTTCTCAAACTGAAATGTCTTATATCATCACATATTTTCAGTTCATAAACTACGTAACAATTTTACTTAAAACCCAAGGAAGTTCTCATAGCCATTTATTAGATGATCACAAAATCTAACGTATCAGAGATGTGTGAAAAGAACACCTTACCCTTGGGACTTGGTTTTGGTTCCTTATCGTACTGTAGGCTTTCCACCTCACTCTCCGTCGCTTCATCTTTGGTTGGAGGTGTCTGGTCGCGAGCTGGAGCAGGGGACACACTTGGTGACTTTGGCCCAGCAAGTGTCCTCTCCTTTACGGGGGTTAAAACTCTCTTGCTTGAATGCTCAGGCTCATGTCCATTCTGGGTCTTTAATTCAATTAAAGACTAAAAACAATTTTTAAATAATGTATAATTTGCAAAATATTTTCCTTCATAATTAAGCAAAAACTTGACGTTGTGTTTTTTTTTTTTTTAAACCACAAGCTTCCTTTCCCAGTTTGGATATTCCTAGTCTACTTTTCTTCATAATTTGCAAATTTTCTTATAGCATCTAGGACCAGAAAAAGGAAGATGAACAGGAAGGACATACATCCAAGAGCAGAGTATCAAAATACATCCTAATGGGTAAGAAGGGATATATGAGAAAAGTCAGGCTTAGGTGACCCTGGGAATAGGTAAGAGCATAGTAGAGGCCTATATCCTACACAGAATAAAACAGACATCTAGGAGGAGGGTTTCTTACTTTGCTACACTACCCTATAAACCATATTTGTTTCCCAGCTTTTCTATCTTTAATTTACCACCTACCTATAGAGTGATTCTTTGCAAGAAGACATTAAACTTGATTTTGCAGAGATACAATGAAAAATAATTCACATTCAAATAAATGCCCATCTCTGCTACAAAATCTGCCTAAGATTATGGAGGCTACAAACTCTAATGAGCCCAAACTTTTATTTTAGCTGGGTTTGTGTCAAAATCAAAAAGATACCACCTCTGCGGAGTCTCAAAAACTAGGTTTCCAAGTGCTGCCTGTTATCAGTTCCTTGCAGGGTGGAGAACCTTTTATTCTGCTAATGGTTATCACTACCAGCCACACCAAATTATCCCATCACAAGACCGGCCACAGGCAGCTGGGGAAACATTACACACCTGGCCTGCCACATACTAAATGACTCCGTGAACCTTACACAGACATCCTCACCCCTCCTAAGAGCAAAAAAAATTGTAAGTTGGGAAAGGAAGGAAACATTTTCTACTACACAAGAAGATGGTCCCAAAGCTAAGTGGGCTATGAGCACAGTCACACACTATACAGCAGAAACCTCTGCACTTTTCTGAAAGTTTTATTCAGAAAAGAGCTTATATAATGTAGGCTACTGGTTAAGAATGAAGACACTGTTATGCCAGGTAACTCTTGAGGCTCTTTGGTAATGAGGTACTGGAGACGCTGGGAAGAGGGAAACAGAGTCATTCCTCACCTGGGACTCGATGCCTTCTCTCTGCAGGGCCACAGACACTCCCACAGTTGGGGCCAGATCCAGAGGAATAGGTGCAAGCTTTTGTTTAGCTCGATTTGGTGGGTCAAGGGTAAAAGCACCCTCAATTGTGACAGGGCGCTGGTTGATTTCTGTGCTGCCCTTTCTTAGCAATCCACTTAAAGGTATTTCTGTACTGCCCAGAGACTGGTCTCCACAGCAGAGATGGATCTAAAACAAAAGGGAAAAATCAAAATGCAACTTTGTATTTTCTCTTCCTTTTTAAATACTATAAACTTAATATAAGTTATAAAAGACCTGCACAGAGTAATGAAATTCTCACGCACGACTGTTAAAACTGGTGGTAAGACATAGATCAATGGGGACTCAATAACAGTTCTCGGCTCTTTTTCATTTCTTTGCTCTATGAGGTATACACAGATATTATCTTTTTTGTCTCTTCAGTGAATGAGTACTTTATTTCATTATGCTACTTTGCATATGCAAATTTCATAATAAAAAATGAATGTGAATTTAAATAGAAAAATACCTTAAGTGGCTTTCCGATTTTTTGAACACCAGACCTTTTGCTCACTTAGCTTCTTGCTCACAGCTGACACCTTATGAGTTGAGCATTCATCCAGCCAGTCTTTTTGCTGGCTCATTGGAGATACAGTCTCCACATGTAGTCTCATAAACTTTTCTGCCAGGGTTGGCTTAGAACTATTAACCTTCAGGTTCCAGCTCCTGAGTAGCTAGAATTACGGTTGTGGACCACCAGTAACCACCAGCTTCTAGTTCTACCTTGACATTAATTCAAACGTAATTCTAAAAATTAAGTCAGTGGATCAGCCCAATTTGGAACTTTAAAACCTCAAATAATTTTGCCTTCTTCCTGCATAAAATACCTTGATTGTTTTTAAGTCTTATTCTAGGGCTTTGTATTATAAAATCAAGGGCGCAACACCAAAAAGTAAAACAGTGCTTCTGGAATGAAAAGTCAATGGTGGCTAGGCAAAATCTCAACATGCTAAAAACTGCACTAAGGAAAGAAGAAATAGGAACCTGTCATGGGACTATTCTGTTCCCATACTAGGTGGAAGGCTTGGAAAACAGTATACTGAAGAATAATTAGTTTAAACATTTTTCCATTTTCAGCATGTGGTAACAGGCCCAACTTACAACTTTATCTTTTCTTTTTTTTTTAAATTTTTAATTTTTTTATCATAAAAATATTGTACAGAGGGTTACAGTTACACGAAAAATGTCTTTTTTTTTTTTAACGCAGTACTGGGGGTTGAACCTTGTGCCTGCCAATCAGAAGCGCTACCTGAAAGCCATCTGAGACAGTCTCACTTTTTGTCCCAGCCATGCCACTACACAGCAACACACCACCTTAGCTGGGATGACAGGTACACAATACCATGCCCAATTTCTTCCACTAAGATGGAGTCTCCTGGATTCTTGTTCCCTGAGCTGGCTTGGAACTATAATCGTCACTATCTCAGCTTCCCACATAACTGAGGTAACAGACATATGCCACTGTTGTGAGTCTCTGTGCATATGCTCATGCTGGCCTTGAACTGTGATCCTCCAATCTTAGCCTCTCAAGTGGCTAAGATTACAAGCGTAAATCCATTATTCAGTATAACTTAAGTCTTAATTTGGCAGTACCAGAGATTACATTCAGGGCCACATGCTGGCAGACATTTCCCCTTGAGCTATACTTCTAGCCCCTTTTTGCACTGGTTATTGATGTAGGTTTTCACTTTATGCCCAGGTTGACCTAGAACTATATGATCCTCCACATTTCTTCCTCCCAAGTGGAAAGCATGTGCTACCATTTTCACTGTGTGAACATTTTCTAAATCAGATGCTATGTAAAAGTAAATCTAATCCAAATTCTAGTAACTCACACCTGTAATCTCATTTACTCAGAAGGCTGAGATCTGAGGATTGTAGCTTGAAGCTAGCTTTGGCAGGAATCCAATTAACCAGTCAAAGCAGAGATGTGGCTCAAGTGGTAGAGTATCAGCCTTGAGTGAAAAACTAAGGGAACAGCACCCAGGCCCGGAGGTTCAACTGCAATAGAGGGGGGTGTGTGCATGCACACTTGGGCACACAAGCATACATACACAATTACTCTTTTATCTTTTAGGATGGTTACTTTTAATCAAATATCAATGAGGCAGTAAAAGTGAGGTGGCACAGGATTAGATAACCATTTGCTTAAAGTATGGTCCATTCATCACTGGATTGTATTTGGAGGAAGAAGCGAGAAGCACTAAGACATGTTATCAGAAAAGCAACTAGGGCTGCGAAGTTGACTCAGTGGTAGAGTGCTTACTTCACATGCCTGAGGCCCTGGGTTCAATTCCTCAGCACCACATAAGCAGAAAAAGCCTGAAGTGGCGCTGTGGTAGGGCACTACTAGCCTTGAGCTGAAGAGCTGAGGGACAGCGCCCAGCCCAGGCCGTGTTCAGCCCCCATGACAGACAAAAAGAAAGAGAAAGAAAGGGAAAGAAAGAGAAAGGAAGGAAGGAAACTAAGCAAAAATGGATGAGAGGCTTAGCTCAAGTGGTAGAGTACCTGCCTAGCAAGTAGGTGGTCTTAAACTCAAATTCTGGCCTGCCAAAACAAACAAAAAAGGTTTAAAAAATACCCAAGGTAGATTTTAGAAAGTTGTCATAATCTCTAATTTTAATAACAAAGTAAATCTGAAATGTAAAGTATGACCTGTGACCACAGCTCTAGGTTCTGGTAAAATTTCCTACTATAGTATACTAAAATAAGTGATATACCTCTTTTCTCAATAACTGGGTGGAGAAGTGTTACCTTCTAAAATTCTGAAGTAACTGTAATTCCAGTAACTAAGCTAATACATAAAAAAAAAAAATTTAAACATGGCAGAAAGGTCTCCACTTCTGAAACAGAATAGAGTTCAAGACCAAATCCAAAACCCATCTTCAATTAAAAAACAAAACAAAAACTTGCCATATTACTTACCTGTAGTTTAGAGTGAAGAGCCAAGTAAACACGAAGCATTTCTACACTGCTGCGAATATGAACAGATGCTCTCTCTGGCTCAAAGTTTGGATTGATCAAATCATTGAAGGGTTCATTTGTGACATCATTTCCCAGTAAAGAATAGTAAAAGAAAAATTCAGGTTGTCTTTCTGGAAGTTTCATGGTACATGGAATTAGCTAAGCATGCAAAGAAAAAGATGAATATTACTCTGTTAATCACTGAACATATGTCTATTGTACTCTAAATTTCTTCCCATATTGTTGGTTTTTAAAAGTCTTTAAAAATTAACCACTCTCTACCAAATTAATAGCCTTTACCAACAAAGGCTGCACTTTATAAATGGTAAATAGGAGAATCTGAATCCAGGTCATTTAATATAAAATATCCTGGTCTATGTCAGAAGTTAAAAAAGGCCTAGAAAACTATGAATTAATATCAGAAAAGTAGGCCTCATCTAATTGGAAAATAATTTCTCAGAACTGCTAAGACTCATATACAGATGTATATAATCAAAAAATGAGGTATTTATCCTACCAAAAAAATATTAAATTCTTGCCGGGCACTGGTGGCTCACCCCTGTAATCCTAGCTACTCAGGAGGCTGAGATCTGAGGATCGCGGTTCAAGCCAGCCGGGGCAGGAAAGATCGTGAGATTCCTATCTCCAATAAACCACCAGAAAACCGGAAGTGGCGCTGTAGCTCAAGTGGTAGAGCGCTCACCTTGAGCTGAAGAGCTGAGGGACAGCGCCCAGGCCCAGAGTTCAAGCCCCACGACCGACAAAAAAAAAATATATATATATTAAATTCTTAACAGACCCTAAATGTTCACTAGAATGTTATTAAGTGAGAAGTTGTGAACATTCCATGTGTCAACCAACAGAAAACAGTGGTAGAGTGCTAGCCTTGAGCTGAAGAGCTCAGAACAGTGCCCAGGCCCAGAGTTCAAGCTCCACGACCAGCAGAAAGAAATAATAGTAATAAAGTTAGTCTATTTCAGATAGTAAAAAAGCAATAATCACCTAGATATTTAAAGTGCAGTATTGAATAAACAGATACTCAATAAATGTAAGTTATTCCTTTTATCCTATATTTTAAAATGTATTCATGTTTGACTGGACAGTTTCTACTCACATGGGTTTACATACATTGAGAGAACCACCTATACTCCTAAAAAGTAGAACTCTAAGCTAAGGCAATCCTCAAGCAGAGCTTTATGAAGAAAAAGATGTACACTGATGGAGACAGACAAAAGTACGTAAAATGGAAAAGTAGGGGAAAAGGAAAAAACATCCCAAGAACACATACAGTAACATATCCTTCTTATCTAAGATACACTGCACTCACGACATCTCTATACTACTTTAAAAATAAATTAGAAAAAATATTTTTAAAAATCCTTCTTGTAGTAGGCATGAATTTAGTATGACAAAGTCAAATTTTCCTTTAAAAAAAGTCTTAACCTGATAATCCTTAAGGGAAAAATTAGATACCTTTTAAGTAAAATAAAAATGTCGTCACTAAATGCATATTTCACTTGTGAGATGTCAATGGGGGGTGTATATATGTAAGAAAGCCAAGTCTAACAAAAATTTTAATGATAAGCCAGGAGTCAGTGGCTCACACCTGTAATCCTGATTACTCAGGAGGCTGAGATGTGAGAGAGATGTGAGAGGATTTTGGTTCAAAGTTAGCCCACGCAGGAAAGTCTGTGTAAGTCTCCAATAAAGCCAGAAGTAGAGGTGTGGCTCAAGTGGTAGCTTTGAGCAAAAAAAGTAAGGGACAGATCCCAGGCCTTGAGTTTAAGTCCTAGTAAATGTAAACACACACACACACACATACATGCACGCACGCACGCACCATAAACCCATCTCTATTCTTAAAAATATGAATTTATTCCAGATGCTATCACCCAATAAAAAGTCAAGAAAACTGGACTTCTCTTTAAGAAAGACAAAAGGATAACAGCAAATGCTGTCCTGTGCCACAGCTGGCAAGAGGCAGTATACCATGAGCATCCTTGTTGAGTACCAGGAATACAAGGCCTTGACTATTCTTTTACCCAGGCCAATTCCCAGGGCCATTTCTATAGTTGGTAACCTTGAGAAGTTAATATGTCTTCCTGAAAAAAAAACTAAGACTGCTTACTGCTTACAATAAAAATAATGCATGTTCCCACATTATTTTCCTCAGCAGAGATAAAACCACTTATTTGCCTTTCTGTGTACCCCACATGGAATTCAAGGAAAAAGAACTGAAGAAAATATACTGATATTCAGGTTGCTCTCAGTGCTGGGAATACTATAGTCTTTTGATCCGGAACTAAACTCTCCAATCTTCTACCATCTCCATGAAAGGAACATGCTAACTTGTTAGCTTACAAGCAAGGTAAAATATAATCCTAGACCCAACAGGCATTAAGTATTTCTGAGAAAAATTGTTCCTGACATTGCTTATCAAAATGTACATGATTCAAGAGGTAAACGGAAAAATTCCCTCCATCAGTTCTGAAAGTTTTGCACAGGACAATGGCAATGTTTATTGATAGTCAATCTCTCCAAATCATAAAATTTATTGTTCTCAAGATACTGATATCTAGATACCTTTTCACAAAGTAAAAATGTTTCTGGCATGAGCACATTTTTATCTCAAATTTTAAACTGTATATATACAAATCTATTTACTAGCTAAAGGATAAGGTTTAAGAAATAAGGTGTTTTCTAAGTTCTTCATGAATCAGTAATTTCCTAATCACTAGCATCTTACCTGCTCCAACTGGGTGGCAAAGGCTATGGTCACTGACATAATGAAGGAGTCAGTACAATACTCTGCTGGCCCAATCTGGTGGTAACCTCCCTCCTCATTCAGCACCGCTACAATGTCCTTCGGGTCAAGTCCAGGGAGGCTAGCAAGCACTTCACAGACAAAAACACAATTACATCAGACTGCGGTTTGCTATAAATTATTGTAAGGTTTTACTTTTTATTTCATTCATTCAATTTTGAGACAATGTCTTCCTTTGTAGCTCAACCTGGCCTGGAACCTTGTAAGTATTGGTATTTTAGGCAGGCACCATTATAAGATTATAAAAGCTGATTATATTTTTCAATTTCCTCGACAATTTCCATGCATACAGCTAATATATAAAAAGGTTTTCTTTAATTCTTTTATGTGCTCTAAATAAACTTCATTTAATTTTGTTTTTCCATATACAAAAAACATAGTCTAGCCAGGCATCTGTGGTTCAGGCCTGTAATCCTAGCTATTTACTAGGCTGATATATGGAGGACTAGGGTTTGAAGACACTCAACAGAAAACCTGGCTCCATCTCTAAAACAATTTTTTTTAAAAAAGCCAGGTTAAAGGTGTTACTCACATGGTCGAGGGCCAACTAAGTAAAAGTCTATCACTTGAGACCCTGAGTTCAAATTTTACTGCCAAAAATATTCTGATAACATTTTCATAAAAACAATAAACCATATAGAAAAAACATCTAAAATAGGTTTCACAATGAATCTAAGCTGGGAGGTAGAAAACCTAGATCTGCCTAAGTCCCCTGATAAGGAAAAAAATAATACAGATGACATAAGTATCCATACGAAACCTGCATGTAAAAAGCCTTCATTAAAAAAAAAAAAGGTGGGGAACAACTTTGTAGTATGTTATATGAAAGCTGTTGACTGATAACAGAAAGGGGGGTAAAGGGAAATACATTCTGTCAGGAAGTAGGTACTGGTGGGAAAGGACTGGGTTAACAAGGAAATGAAGGAGGTCAAATACAATTAAAATAGTGTATTTGCAACTACACAAATAGATCAATAAAAGTGGTTGCAACGTTTTAGATGGGGGATGAGACAGATTGGCACACACTGAACACATGTGGAAAGGTAACAACTCCCCCCCACTTAAAGCCAATTTTAAAAAAGTAAACTAGATAATTAGTACATAATTAAAAAAAACATGCTGTAGCTAATAAATACTTATAGCAAGAATACTATTAACCTAGCACTCAATTTCCCACATGCGAACTGTGGAGAACATACTCAAAGTAATGTAGGATCTTGGTGAGGGGAGGGGTTACACAGAAAAGCTTTAGGGAAGTGCAAGTATTCTGCACACAACCATGGACTTCTAGCGACAATGAAGTATCAATGAAATTTCCCCAGTTGTGATCACATCCTAGGTTTGGGATGTTGATGATGGATGAGGTGGATCTATGTGCAACTCTCTGTACTCTCCAATTTCACTCCACACCCTTAATGACAGTGATGGCAAAACTAAGTAGCAATTTTCAAAAATACAAAATTCTTTGTTCTAGATTATACCAGATGAGGAAAAGAAAAAATATCTCTTTGCAAGATTTCAAATGAGTTAAAACAACAAGTGCTGGAGGTGTTACAACATCACAATATTTGTCTGATGTACTTGGATTGAAAATAGATGTTAAGGGGCTGGGAAGGTGGCTCAGTGGTAGAGCGCTTGCCTTGCATGCATGAGGCCCTGGGTTCAATTTTTCAGCAACACATAAGCAGAAAAAGCCAGATGTGGTGCTGTGGCTCAAGTGGTAGAGTGCTAGTCTTGAGCTGAAGAGCTGAGGGACAGTGCCCAGGCCCAGAGTTCAAACCTCAGGACCGACAAAAAAGAAAGAAAGAAAGAAAATAGATGTTAAGTTTGTCCAGTTCCCTGTGTAAGCTCAGCTAACCCTCCCACACGGCTCTCCTTGTGCTATCCCCTCCTAACCTTCTAGTCCACAGATGAACTTCTCAGAGAATGCCTTTAGAGATGGTGCACAAACCTTTTCCATCTCGAGGGGGGGCCCCCTTTGCTTTAAAACTATCCACCGGTGCTTTTGTATCTGTTTCCAAAGTGATGCTTATCTGTATCTCAGACTTGAACTTGGTGTATTTATTACTCAGCAACTGGTACCATTTTGGTGCCTAGAGCAAAACAACACAACAGGAACATCTTAATAGATAATAGGAAAAAAATCTGTTGGAAATGCTCATTAAGGTTCTAAATAAACGACCTATAGTTTGTCAGTAATTTTCCTCTCTTAACTACCTTCTCCCTCCCACATTTTATTAGAAAAGAATTAATTCCACTTTGGAAGCCATTAACTGGATTTCCCTTTGGAAAAATAACTTAAAACATTGAGGCTGCCTTCATTTCTCCCATTCTTATGCTTCAACAGGTAAAATATTAAAGGAAAGAAAAAAGCTATTTCTTTCTATCTTTACAACCTTCTACTTCTTCTTACATGATTTTTTTCTTAAATTTTTATGTTGTTATTATAAAGGTGATATACAGAAGGGTTACAGTTATGTAAGTCAGGTAAAGAGTACACTGCTTTTTGGACACTTTCACCCCTTCCCTTGCTCTCTCCCAGTTTTTCCCTTCTATCTCCCACCCACAGTTGTATAATTCATTTTCAACACAATGTCCAGTAAGTAGCACTTCTGCATTTTTGTTTTATTTTATTTTTTGTCTGTCCTGGAACTTGAACTCTGGGCTTGGGAGCTGCCCCTCAGCTCTTCAGCCAAGGCTAGCACTCTACCACTTGAGCCACAGCACCACTTCCAGTTTTCTGAGTGGTTTATTGGAGAAAAGAGTCTCATGGACTTTCCTGCCTGGGCTGGCTTTGAACCTGGATCCTCAGATCTCAGCCTCCTGAGTAGCTAGGATTACAGGCGTGAGCCACCGGCGTCAGGCTTGCTGGATTATTTTCACTCCCTGCATTCCTCACATTAGATATAGAAAATGTAGTTTTCTATTTCCCTAATGCCTATTATTTCATGCTTTGTATACCTTTTCTTCCTGCCTCATTTCTGCTTTATAATACTGACATCAATTAAGAAAATCTTACTGCTAATAAAAAAATACTAAAGAAACTAAAGGCCTGACAATATAGTTCTGAGTTATGAACTATTACTTGATTGATATTAAACAAAAGCCTGTCACTGAATAAAGTTCTATATAGAGTAACCCTCACTCCAGCAACATCAGAAACTCCTATCCAAACTACCTGGAATTCTCACGAACCGGGACAATCTGCCCATGAGTGCGTATTATATGTACTAATGTACTATTATTAGAATATGACACAATGATTCATGCCAGAGTGAAAGACAAAAGACTAACATAAATGCAATTTTAAATAGATAACAATGTCACTGATATACACTTAATGTCACATAATGTGCAGCTGGTTCCCTGAAAGCATCTGTAAGGAACAGGAAGCAGGGAAACCAATGAGGAGGTGATTATGAAAGTAAAAAACTGAGGTAGCATTAGTGAAATGCAGAATAGTAGACAGATCAAGAAGAATGGAGAACTATGAAAAAAGGGAAGCCAAATATCAGGAAAGATTTCTGTTTCTATCTCATACAACAAGAGAGGGATGACCATTTTCTACAGCAAGGAACACGTTCAAGAATTTTAAATAAAAACTCTGGACTTGAAGATGTTAAGGTTGAGCTCATAGCTACTTAAACATAGGTTGGAGCACAGAGACAAATTTCTTTGAGAAAGAGTTCAAAGGAATAATGAAAAAGGTTGATTTTTCCATAAACAAAACATCAGAGCTATGCCACTGGCTCAAGTATGCAATGTGTTTCAGGTCCAGTATTTTATTTTATTTTCACTAATCCAATGTCTACTGAAAGTAATCAATGTCTAACATAGAAATATCAAGAGGACAATGCCTGTTTTGTTTCTTGAGCAGTTCTTAAGTCCAGAACAATGTAACCTATGACTTCTTTGGCTGAAGATGAAGGATTCAAGGCGAAGCACTGGAGTTTGATTGGAGTACGCTGTAACCTGCAAAACAATTTATGTGAGAAGTAAGATAGCTTTTTCTCAATATTGAACACTCAATATTAAACTTGAAAAAAATGGCATTATCCATATAACTAAAATGTAATGATAATTGGGTAAGCTATATCTATTTTCTATTTTATTTTGAAGAAGACCTCTTCAGTCCAGGCACCAATGGCTCATTCCTATAATCCTCGCTACTCTCGAAGCTGAGATCTAAGGATCACAATTTGAAGCCAGCCTGGGCATAAAAGTCCATGAGACTCTTACTCCAATTAACCACCAAAAAAACAGGAACTGGAGCCATGGCTCAAGTGGTAGAACACCAGCCTTGAGCTTTAAAAAAGCTCAGAGACAGTGCCCAGGACTAGCATACACAGAGACACACAAAATGACCTCTTTGACCAGAAAGAACTGTAAAATATATTTGCCTCTATACTACTACAAAAAAAAAAAAAAGTTGAAATTTTAGGCCAGGCACTGGTGGCTCACGTCTGTAATCCTACCTAGCTAATCAAGAGGCTGAGATCGAGGATTCAAAGCCAATCTGGGAAGGAAAGTCCGTGAAATTATTATCTCCAATTAGTCACCAGAAAACCAGAGTGGAGATGTGGCTCAAAATCGTAGAGCACTAGCCTTGAGTGAAAGAGATCAGAGACAGTGTTTCCCAGACCCCGAGATAAAGACCCATAACTGCCCCGCAAAAAAGTTAAAAATTTTAGTTTTTTCCTCTAAAGAGTTATTAAGTAAGAACAGGTTTTCTTAATCTTCAAAGCCTTTTGATAGTCAAAAATTATGAATCCTCAGGACTGATTTTTGGTAACCTTTCTTACACCACAACATCAGATATAAAATACAAACTACAATATATGCTACCCCACAAAATAATTTTAAATTAATAATTCAATGTACTTGATTCACAACGTTACTGATTATTATAGCATGAGATCTTTTAGTTTAATAAACTAGAATAGCTCTAGTTTATTACTAGTTCACATACTAGTTCATTACTAAGCTGAATTAATTCTGTCATTAGGTTTATCTAGTGGAATTACTATTTAACTGCTTTAAGCACAAAATCATCACTTTTAAATTTGTCTGTATTATTTTCTCAGCCTGCAACAGCCAAAGTGGTATCCCTGGATACTCACAACTGTAAGCCCAACTACAGATGTGGGCTGTGGCACCCCACAGCAGAACCCTATTTCAGCAGGTATTACAGAGCCACAAAAAACTTACAACTTTTTGATACTCTGTAAGAATTCAGCATCCCTTTAAATAAATCCACAGAAACTAGCCAAAGAAACAAGTACATTTTTCCTTAATTTCATTCTCTTAACTTCCTGTTCTGAGTTGATTTAATACTAAGAAAAGGCCAGTACTGGAATGGTTTCCCAGACAGAAATACATTTTCAATCATTTAATACACAAATATCTTGCTGTTCTGGTCACAGAGTTCATGAAAAAATAAGATGCCATAACTTTAAATCCATTTTAGATACTAGACTCTCTAAAGACCAAAGAAGACAGTAATTTGCAAATAGCAGTCACCTGTGCTGATGAAGAACTTTCCTATCAATTTCCCAGGCTAGCTCAGTAGCAAATTCTGGCTGGTCAGTATGGTCCACAGGATCAGTAGCCAACTGCTCTCCATCAAATTTTGCTTCTACTATAAGCGTATGCTTTGGACGTTTGGGAAAATGACGACCTGAAGAAACAACAGTATGCAGATTAATTGGAAATATACAAAAACCAAGTAGGCTCATTTAGTAGTGAGTGTGTGTGTGTGTGTGCGTGTATGTGTATGTGTGTATATGTGTGTGCATGCATGCCAGTCCTAGGGTTTGAACTCAGGGTTGAGCACTATTCCTGAGCTTTTTTTGATCAAGATTAGCACTCTACCACTTGAGCCCCAGCTCTCCTTCCAGATTTTTGGTGGTTAATTGCATATAAGAGTCTCACAGAGCCAGGTGCCAGTGGCTCGTGCCTATAATCCTAGCTACTCAGGAGGCTGAGATCTGAGGCTCCAGGTTCAAAGCCAGCCCGGGCAGGAAAGTCCATGAGATTCTTATCTCCAATAAACCACCAGAAAACCAGAAATGGTGCTGTGGCTCAAATGGTAGAGCTAGCCCTGAGTTGAAGAGCTGAGGGACAGCACTCAGGCCCAGAGTTCAAGCCCCATAAATGACAAAAAAATCTCACAGACTCAGATTAGTTTCTGTAATCAAATTCACATAGATAAGATCTTACATATTTAATATTATGTGTTTACTCCTATATAAATGGAAAATTAGGTTTAACATTTCTAGACCTATATGGCTATTAATTTCCACACAATGCCAACTCAGTAAACTGGGATACTTTTTCCAAAGTTGATAGCACATCTAATGTTTCCAAAAATTCAAATTATATATAAATATGCATATATCTATATATATAGGTATGTTTTTTTATTTATATAAAGGGCCAGTAATAGCAGTATGTTATGAATCAGTAGTGGTTATCAGCTTTGCGAGGTTCTGCCACCATCTGAACAAAATTAAAAACATCCTAGCTACTTAGGAGGCTGAGATTTGAGGATCACAGTTCAAAGTCAGCCCATGACACTCTTATCTCCTCCAATAAACTACCAGAAAACTGGAAGTGGCACTGTGGCTCAAGTGGTAGAGTGCTTGCCTTGAGTTGAAGAGGTGAGGGACAGCATCCAGGACCAGAGTTCAAGCCCCATGACTGACAAAAAAAAGTAAAAAAAAAAAAAAAAAAAAAAAGTCTTTTTAGAAAAACCCTGAAAAATGCAAAATTCTGTTACTGGTACCTGGCACATTTTTTTAAAATTAGTTTCTCTATCATCATCTGTAATAAAAAAAAAAGCTGGAGTAATAAAAAATCTTTGATAAAGCTGTCACAGTTCATAAACAAACAAAAAAGTCTGGTGAAGGGATCAGGATGAGAAATTTTAACCACTGTTAAGGAGTTCTATTGCTACTCTAGCTGAAGCTACTTGGTCAGAAAAGACTGGACTGCAAATTTGAGTCTCATCCTGAGGCTCTCACTTGAGGGTAAACACTCTACTATAAGTGGTGACACGCACAGCCCAGTTTTCATTAGTACCCAAAGGCCTCTCTCAGAACCTCATTTCTGACTGCTCTACAAGATCATTAGTTTCTCTTATAAATTTCACACATGAAAGTGAACTTCATATATGTTAACTTACAGTTTCAGTCAGATAATGATACCAAAGAGAGGAACAGAGAACAGAGGAAAGGCAGTAGAACAAGATGCCTGCCTCAACTCAAAGACAAGGAACATATTAAGACCAAAAGAAGTCTTATCCCTAAGATGATTTCTTTGTTGCATTGTATGTCCCTCCCCCACAGTATAACTCTTGCTTTCACTGTATTTGATGTTGGTATAATTTGTGGAGGGGAAGGGAAAAAACAAATCGTTTAAATAGGGATACAGGTAGACCCATTGCAACAATGAAATGTACAAGTTGTTATGTCTAAAAACAAACTTTACAACTTTGGGGAGGAGTGGGGAGGGAAATGGGAAGGGATAGGAAGGGGAAACAAAGGAGGAGTTAACAATGCTTGATAAGAAATGTACTCATTATCTTGCCCATGTAATTGTAACTCCTCTGTATGGTATTTTCACAATTAAAAAAAAAAAAAAGAAGCCTTATCCTTTCCTTGAAATTTGATTCACAGTTTAAATGTTACTTTTCAGTAGGAATTCAATTTCTTTTGAATAAAAGGTATTCCCAGAACTGAAGACAAGAAATTAAAAGCAGTCAATATATGGGAGAAGCTGGCTGGCTGTATAAGAGACTGACAGAGCAGGAAAGACTTCTACCACAAAGGATAACATTTGCTATTCTAAGGAGCAGTCATTGCCTTTTAAGGAACAGAAAAATCTGAAGACTGTAAGATTTAATGTCATAATGGTTATTGCCAGATTGTAGGAAATGTTAGATGTTTCTAGGAGGAAGAAAAAATGTAGGAAATATATTATTGAAGATTACAATAGGTTAGTGGATAACAAATGCCTCTAATCCAGGTATTCAGTGGAAATTTGTCCATTTGAAAGTTTATATGGCTGAGACAAGCAGAAAAGGTCAAAAGCTATGTACATATGACCAGATAAGATGATGTGAAGTGAAATGAACCCCAAGATAGGGACACAAGTGGTTTTTGCTTTCTTGCTATTATTTCTAACATAATTTACAATGTACCATGTGATTTTTTTTTTGTTTCTCCGTATGCTCCTCCTCCACTGTATTTGCTGTTGGTGCCCTGCATCTTGTATATACATTTTTCTAATTTGGGAGGGGAAGGGAAAAAACAAAATGCTTAAATAGGGATACAGGTTGACCTGTAACAATGGGATGCACAAGACACTGTTGAAAAATGAACTTTACAATTTGGGGGCAGGGGAAGTGTAGTTGTGGAAGTGGGAGGGAAGGGATGGTAGGGGAAAAACAACAATGCTTGATAGGAAATGTACTCATTACCTTGCTCATGTAACTGTAACCCCTCTGTACAGTATTTTTACAATAAAAAAGTATTAAAAAATTTATATGGAGACCCCTGTTATTATTTAGAAAATGAAATCCACAACACCGGGTAGCCATTTGTAAGATAGAGATGGGAAAGAGTCAAGTTCTTAGGAACTCCAGGTTCTTGGCTTGGGGCAACTGTAAGGTTGTACTGAAAGGGAAAATAAACAAACACAAGAGCAGGAACAGTTTGGAGAAAGAACTATATATCAAGGTTAGGTATGTTGTGGCAACAAGCTAACTGACATTCCTGACTCTAGCTTCTTCTCCCCGAGAAGGTTACTACTAAACTTGTGTAAAGTGCTTTTCTATTTAGGACTATCTACCACCAACCTATTTCTTAGAACATGAATTCTGAACTACTTGGTTTTCAAGATCCTCACCACATTCCAACTAGACGGGATTTTTTTTGCTGTCTTGGAGGATGTTCCTAAATATTCACTGCCCACTCTGCTGGTGGTCCTGCTACCTTCCTCAGTGCTCCACCAGCATTTCATTCCCACAGACTTGTGGTCCTGATCATCCAGTTGCTGGGGGAACAACTTCGTGTGTGTGTGTGTGTGTGTGTGTGTGTGTATGTGCGCGCGCGCGCGTGCACATACTCACACACCAATACTGGGGCTTGAATAAGGACCCAGGTACTGCCCCTTAGCTTTTCCCCTCAAGGTTGGCACTCTTACCACGTGAGCCATAGCTCTACTTCTGGCTTTTTGGCAGAGTTAAGAAGTCTTGGGGAGCTGGGAAGGTGGCTCAGTGGTAGAGCGCTTGCCTTGCATGCATGAGGCCCTGGGTTCGATTCCTCAGCACCACATAAGCAAAAAGAAAAAAGCCGGAAGTGGCGCTGTGGCTCAAGTGGTAGAGGGCTTGCCTTGAGCTGAAGAGCTGAGGGACAGCGCCCAGGCCCAGAGTTCAGGCCCACTACCGGAACCCAAAAAAAAGTCTTGGGACTTTCCTGCGTGGGCTGGCTTTGAACCACAATCCTCGGATCTTAGCCTCCTGAAAGGCTGGAATGATAGGTGTGAGCCATCAATGCCTGGCCCAGGGATGATTTTTTTTTTCCCTGCCCTCGGCTATCAGACGTTTACAATAAAAGACACTTCAACCATCATGCTCTACCCTCAAGACCTGTATTCACCGTCCATGTTACTAAGAGTGTCTTACACCTTACTGTGCGGGGTTCTGCTCGTTAACTGATCGTCCCAGGAGGACGGGGTCTCACACGCTACAAGGGAAAGGCCCCCAGGACGGAAGCCGTGGCGCTTTCCGGCCGGGCTGTGAGAGGGTCTGCGGTGTTTCGGCAGCCGTGCCTTCTCTGCAGCGGAGGGCTTCCCAATTCAAGAGCTAGGCGTACTCCCCGCGGCCCCCCGGCCCTCGGGCCCTGCGGTACACCGTCCGCCCCCCAGCACACGGGAGGCTGGGCCACCGTGCGCCCCGCACCACCGGGGCCGTCCGAGCCCTGCGCCTCCACTCCGCGGCCCGGGCTGGGCGCGGGGCCGGGGTCGGGGTCGGGCGGGCCGCGCGCACGCGCGCCGGGCCTCCGAGCCCCGGATGCGGCGGCCGGCGCCGCGCCGCTCACCTTCGAGGATGGACACGACGATGAGGAGCTGGTCGGACTTGGAGACCATGGTCGCGGCGGGCGGGCGGAGGCGGGGTAGAGAGGCCGCGGGTGAGCGGCGGGAGGCCCCGGGGCGCCCGCCCGCCGCAGCCCCCGCCGCGCGGCGCCGCTCCGGGCCCGCGGCGCGCCCCGGCCTCCCCCGGCCCGCGCCCGGCCCGTGACGGGACGCGGAAGCCGCTCCGCGACCCGGCCCCGCGGCCCTCGGAAGCGAGTCCGCCGCCTCAGGACCTGCTGCCGCCGGCTGGGCCGCTTTTCAAACGCCCCGGCAGCCGCCGCCGCCGCGCCACGCTTCCGCCTAGCAACCGGGGCGGCGGGCCCAGAGCCCGGAGGAGGCTGGAGGAAGAAGAGCCATAGAGTCCAGGGCCGGCGGGGATAGAACGCCCGCGGCCCGCGTCACCGCCGCCCTCGGACGTTGGGTTCCCGAGCCCCGAGGGAGGGAGCAGCTCGCCGTCCCCACAGCGCCCCCTGCCGGCCGGCCGGGGGAGGCCGGCGGGGGGGGGGGGGAGGAGACGTGCGCAGGCGCGCCGCTGCCGTAAAGCGTCCCCGCGGCTGTCGTAGACGTGGTCCACGGGTTGGGGCGTGCCGTCGTGTCCGCGGTGTGCACCCGGCGGAAGCTCGTTATCCGGGTCAGCGTGCTTTCAGACGGCCAGCCGCAGAGCGGGGCCGGGGTGTGCGCCCGCGACTCCCCACGCTGCCCTGTCTGGGTTTGGGGGAGACGGTGAGGGGGCGCTGACGTCAAGGCCCCGGGAGCCCCGACGGCTGCGGAGGCCCCCTGACCGCGCCCGCCGGCTCCGGCCCTGTTAAACCCGACGCCGTCTGGAGAACGCACTTAACGCCTCCCAGGCCTCCTTCCGTGTTCCCGCTCCGGTTTTCTCCCCTCTTGGTGCCCTACAGACGAGGAGGGGGCAGGCGGGGGCCGGGCGGGGGGAGGAGGAGGGCGGGGAAGGGGGGAGGGAGGGAGGGCTTGGGATGGGCCCTGATCACGTCTGAAATGCTCGCTGGGCCTTTGGCCCACGCCACACCCTTCGGGAAGCGCCGGGGCGCATCGCCAAGCCGCATCCGGTGGAAGATGTCAGACCTAGTGAACTAGGTAAGATGGCGGGGTCAGCCTCCCGTCGTCCGCAGTTAGACCCGAGACCGGTGGACGTCGGCGATGCGGCGTACGGAATAAAATCCCTGACAGCACACCCATTCATCCCTTTGGATCAGTGCCCCGAAAAAGATTTTTTAAGCCGGGCGCCAGTGGCTCACGCCTGCCATCCTAGCTACAGCTCAAATGAGCATCCAAACAAGTTCCGAATTACAATACATTTGAGTGTCTTTTATCTACTGTAATATTGTATTTATTACTTTTTTCCCTTGAAAGTCTTTGTGTATGGGGTGTATGTGACTGTAGTGAGTCTTGAACTCAGGACCCGGCCACCATACCTCAGCTTTTTTGGTTATGGCCTGTGCTCCACCATTTGAGCCACACCTCTACTTCCAACTTTTTGCTTGCTAATTGGAGATAAGTGTCTTGCAGAGTTTCCTGCCCAGGTTGGTTTTGAAATGTTGTGTAGCTTGAAAGCAGTAAGTGGATAAAAAATAAACCATTTCATATTTACATAACACAAGTTCAGATTATTGCATAAACTAGTTAATACATATTGATCTTTCCAGAAACACTGGCATTTTTAACTACCTGTTAGCAGTTGAGAAAATGAAGTTGGGTAACTTGAGCAATTTGATAACCATCAGGGCTCAGGCATTCCAAGGGTTAACTTTAGGCTACCCCTTTATTCTCAATCTGGAGACACAAATGCCCCAACAACATGGTGCTAGACCAGGAAAACAGAGGTAGAAATACAGTTCATCATATTGAGGAGCAACAGTATCAATCAATGGCAAGAAATTAAAACATTGTTTTTACACAAAACAAATATGGACATGTGGTATGATAGCCTTTGCATTGTTTCTAAAGATAAAATATAAGTCTTTAAGGAAAATAGTTTTGGATTACATCTTCAGCCTTCACCCGACACAAAATCTGTCCATGGATATGGATCCCTCTCCCCTATTTTCCAGCATCTACAAAAACTGACCTCCATCTCACCACCTATATTCATGTATGTATGCATGTGAACATGCTATTACTGAGGCTTCTACTTGGCCTGGGCACTGTCCTTTAGGTTTTTCACTCAAGGCTAGCACTCTACCACGAACCACAGCACCACTTCCAGCTTTTTTGGTGGTTAATTGGAGATAAGAGTCTTGTGTACTTTCCTGCCTGGGTAGCCTTTGAACCACAATCCTCAGATAGCCTTCTGAATAGCTAGGATTATAGATGTGAGCCACGGCACCGAGCTATCACCAATATTCTTGAGCCAGATTCGCATTAAAAAATAATTGAGTAGCACTTAATGGGGAAAAGTATCTTGTCTAAGAGGAAGCAGTAGCCTACTTCCACTTAACTACTCCATGGGGTTGGAGGAAATTAAAGTAATTGCCCTCAATATATATTTCCATCACATATCAATATAGTGAATGAAGTTCTTAGGAAGGTCTGCTTGGATATTACAGTTTTTCCACATGTACTTGATTGGCTGCTTCCTGAGAGGTCTTCATGATTGTTGAATGTGATAAGTGTTAGTTTATTCTATAAATGTTAAATTCTATAAATGAGGCAAACTAATGAGCTAGACCTGCAAAACTTACACTAGTGCCCTTGGATACAATGAGATGTAGTTGATAAACAAATTCTCTAAAAGTATCTGTTTTTCAGCCTCCTCTAGTAAGGTGTTCTTCTGCAGTATTACATTATGTTCACATATTGGTATTGCCAGGCACCAGTGGCTCACAGCTGTAATCCTAGTTACTCAGGCAGCTGAGATCTGAGGGACATGGTTCAAAGCCATCCCAGGGAAGGAAGGTCTAAGAGGCTCTAATCTCCAATTAACTACCAAAAAGAAAAATGGAGCTGTGACTCAAGTAGAGAGCTAGCCTGGAGTACAAAAGCTCAGAGACAGTGCTCAGGTCTTGAGTACAAGCCCCAGGATGAGCACAAAAGCAAAAATAGATGTGGGTATCATAGGTCGGTCTTCCATGCAGGCAATATTAACAAATCAGATTCTGTTATTTCTGTTAAGGAATATGAACACACCAAAATGACCTCTATTCAACAAGGCAAACTTGAAACAATGTTTTATTACTTGTTATTTCCCTGCTGGAAATTTTAGCACTGTTTAGATACCATGAGTCCCAACTCTTCATTGAAGTTAACAGCTTATGTTGTTAGCACAATTGCCAGTAAAACACAATCTATTAAAATTAAGTCCCACGAGATAGGACTCTCATTTCTTATCCCCAAGGTCTAGGAAAGCATCTGGCCTACAATAATCATTCAATACATTTGTTGAATAAATGAAAAAATGATATATTTTAGCTTATAAATGGACTCTAGACCTAACTTGACATGATATATATTTGAGTAGTATTCTCTATTGTATAGTAAATTTATCAAAATTGTAAATGTGTCTTAGAATATTCAAGCTACAATGTTTTGGTATCATTTTTCTGTATTTGAATACTAGTTTCTACTTTTTGATAAACTTTTTGCACTTCAATTCTTTGAATGTAGAAACCAGAAATTTCAAGGGCTGTCTCCTATTTCTTAGCTAAACCAATATAGACTCAGGCTCCATGGGGTTCCCAAGGGTTTCTTCAAATTTCAAAGACCAAAACCCAGATAGCTGTCAATCTTGAAAAATTTACCTCTGAACTTCCACAAGGGAGTTGAACAAATTTATCAAATATCAATTTGAAGTAGTGGTCACTGGTGACTTTTTCTTTCTTAAAGTAAGCATTTATGTTTTACGAAAGCAGAGCAGATTTTCCAAGGCTTGAGATCACTTTCACTTAAAAAAAAAAAGTATTGAATAGTTCTAATAAATGCATCTCAACAGTCCCAGTTATCATCCTATCCAAACAGTCAGCTTAGCACTTCTAAGACTAGAGCTTAGGGGACACTCATTTTACATGAGTAGTCAGGTTTCTTGTTTGCCTTTTCCCTTGAAGTGTTCTGCTTAGATCAATTAGTTTTCTACTTGCTCAACCAGGTTCTCATGAGTATTGGTCCCTAATGCTATCAATTTGATATGAAAAGGTAGAATTTCATAGCTGGTTGTTACATTCATTAACTTCAAATCCATTTAAATCAAGAATACTCCAAAACCTAATATGACAGATTGTTTCACACAATTTTCCTCTTTTTAATCTACCATTAAAGAAATCAACTATGATTATTTTCCTAGGTAATATATCCATGTATGTTTTTCAGTCAAAATTTCACTCACTGATGTTTCTGTTCACAAGTTCTCCCTAGAACAAAGTCTCATTGGATTAAAATATTTTACATTTTTTGGAAGTAAAGTCTAGTGATCATTCATATTAGTTCTTTAGACCTTATCAGATCCTGACTTCGAATCTGAATCTCAACCACAAGCCATTAAATAGAAGAAAACAGCAATCATAGAAATGGTGAGACAAAGGACAAAGGGTGAACCAATGCAACAGTGATCCTCACAAGAACCTATATTGGAAATGAACTTTACAGCTTGGGGAGAACAGAGTGGGAAAGGAAGGAAAGCAGGAGAAAACCAGAGAAAGGGTAACAATGTTCAAGAACTGCACTCATTTCCTTACGTACGTAAGTGTAACCCCTTGGTATAGCACCTTTCCAATTAAATTTCTTTAAAAAAAAAAAACATGGCATTAATTTAATGCATTTTTCAACAAATTTAAGAGCTTTCTCTTTTGGTATAAGTATTTTCTTACTTTCTTGTATCAACAAAACAAATCAATTTCGTGCTAAATGATCAATAGTCAGCTAGTTTAACTACTTTATTTCCCCTGTGGCCACATGCTGTTGTAGTATGTAAGTGTATAAATCCAGCAAATTAAATATAAGTAAATAATGGAAGATGGACACCGAGGTGCCTATGGTTCCAAGTATGCAAAATAAATATTGCTGAGTTTAATGGAGAGAAAGTAGAAACTACAAATAAGCATGGCTGAAGGGCAGGAGGCTGTCGATCAAAATGTTCCACAATTATTTTGGTACCAAAGTAACAATAAATAAAAACATGGGCTTTCAATACAGCCACATGTCCTCTAGAAATTAATAACATGATTACATGTCTCTCAGCACCTGCCTTGTACCCTACTAGACACACAAGCTATAAAACAATTCCATTGAAGAGGAACAATTTCACACCTTAAGAAAAGAACTCAACTCTATATTTTCTTATTTCTATGCTTCTACTTTTATGGTTTTAGTGCTATTTTTTTTTTGGGGGGGGGGGAGGTCCGGTCATGGGGCCTGAACTCTGGGCCTGGGCGCTGTCCCTCAGCTCTTCAGCTCAAGGCTAGCGCTCTACCACTTGAGCCACAGCGCCACTTTCGGCTTTTTTCTTTTTGCTTATGTGGTGCTGAGGAATCGAACTCAGGGCCTCAGGCATGCAAGGCAAGCGCTCTACCACTGAGCTACCTTCCCAGCCCTTTTAGTGCTATTTTTAAGTATTGCAATACATTTAAAGAACTGAATGATTCCGTTTTAATAAAACGCAAGGATTATTTTCTAGTTGTACTATACAGTTACTGAACTCTGTAGTTCTTCAGATTGATGATGGTGCTCCATAAATTATTCACAGATAAAGGTATTTTAATCATTTCTTATCAGCATTGATATTTTAAGATTCGATCTCAAGGACACTTCAGGTAAAATATAGTTTAAGCATAAATCCTATTATTGAGATTTACTTTAAGATCATTGACATTTTGGATTGCTAAAAGCTTTAAATCTCTCATAACCTACCCATATTATTATGTTGTATTTAATGGAAACTTTTAGAATTAATATTTAACATGGAATTTTAAAGCAATTAACTTAAATCAATACTTATAGACTAATGCAATTTCACTTTTCGTCTTTCCAACTTGTATGAAATTGGGTTCACACAAAACGCATGGAGTAATAGGATGGTAAATCTGTACTTTGAAGAATACTTCACTATTAGACATATTGTGGCAGCAGACTGATAGCTGGAAGAAAAAAAAAAAGGAAAAAGTTACCACAACCGATTTAGAGAATAGCGAAGTGTATGGCCCTGGTTATTGTGGAGACGCCTCTCTGGGGCCCTCCGCTCTGAGTTGCTTGGTTCTTGGGTCACCTTGCTCAGTGGGGTGGGGAAGGAGCAAGCCTGGTTTCATGCCCGCACGCAGTGACTGCTAGAGGAGAACATGTCTCTTCTAGGAGCCCACTGCCTCCCCCTTCCCCTTCTGTTTATTTCTGAGCTAAACCTGTAGCCAGGAGAGTGCCCATGGCGACTTCCAGAGGCCCAGTCCCTACGCCAGCCATTAAGGCAGGGGTTGAGAAAACCATTTAACTACCAGGCATAGCTTAGAACAGGAGGTGGTCACCATTCCCTCAAGTGAATGGGTGGTGGAGTCAGGACCACGTGATATACGATGAGGAGAGAGAAGGAAGACTTGTCAGCATCAACAACGTCTAAGCAGAAAAATGACGCTTTTTTTTTTTTTTTAACGTAGGGTGTGGGCTGAAAATAGTCACCTAAATATTCAGCAAAAGACCAAGAAGTAGAGAGTAGTTAGGTCTCAGAAGTCTCTGGTGGTTTTTATTCCATTGAAATTCCCTTTCCTTGTTTGGATTTGTACCTGTATGAGGCTCAGTCTCTTCCTACAGAAAATTGGTGACTCTTAGATGCCTTGTTGGATCTTTCAGGGATTGAAAAGGTTGACAGCCAGGCACCAGTGGCTCATACCTGTAAGTTAGCTACTCAGGAGGCTCAGATCGGAGAGGATCCTGGTTCAAAGCCAGCCCAGATAGAAAAATCCATTAGACTTTTATCTCCAATGAACCGCCCCAAAACCAAAGCTAGAGCTGTAGAATCCTGAGTGGGAGAACACAAGCCTTGAGTGAAAAGATAAGTGACGATGTCCAGGTCTTGCGCTTCAGCCCCAGTATCAGAACATAACACACATACACACACTGAAAAGCAGTGTCAGAAGAAGTAAGTGGCTACAAAGGAATACGATGATGTGTCTGGTGGCTGAAATTTCATCCTAGCATCAGCCTCTTTCTATTTAATGATTAGGCTTTCACAAATCCCATGATAAAAGCTATTGTTTTGTAATCCCTTTACCACCACACTAACTAAGGGAAACAACAAGCCAGATGTGTTATGCTGACCCAGGCCACACCTCAGATGGTTTCCTTAGTAAGGAATGATGCAGGGCTGAAGCACTGCTTTGTTTTTCTCAGCAGAAAAGAATAGAAACTTCTCAAAAATCCCCTACTAAAATGGGCTCCATTCTTGGTGATAGAAGCTACATTTTGGAAATATCTGAACAGGATATATTTTTTAAGTACGTTTTTCAAGTTTAAAGTACAAATTCCATGAAGAAAATTAAGAATGTATAAAAAAAAAGTCTAAAGACAATAACACCTACAAGGGCTGACATTGATTAAGGTTCATTGTACTCACAAACTGACATGTCAAACTGATAATGATAATTTCTTAAAAAAGAATAAAAATCAATAAACCCTTAGTCTCCACCTAAAGAATATTATGGCATAGTTTTCCAATTATATATGAATGAACATATATGTGTATAATGCTTTAAAAAATTAGTGCTTTTTCCAGAAATTCTGTTTTATAAATTTCTTTCCTTATTAAAATTACCATGAACATTTCCCCATCTACTAAAGCCTTTGTGCAGGTATACAAACAGTTTATTTAAGCAAACTTGAGAGTTTGGTCTTTCAGATAAATCATAAACTAGCCAACACACACAGAATCCTAAACTTTAATTGTGCTACTTGAGTTCTGAAATTGGATTAAAGTAAATCCTATATGGAAGAAAGAAAAGAAACACAAGTAAAACAAATGTGATGAAGGAATAAAAATGGGAAAAAAATCTGAACCAAATGGGATTTCCTGAGTTGAAAGTATAACTTTCTTTATATGTATGTTCACTAAACTCTTGTTAACTGCTGTATTACTATTGAAAACTCAGTTAGTACTAGGATTGACACTGATCTAAAAGTGGAAGGATCCAGAGTGTGAACCCCTGCCCCATGGGTTGACGTTTTATTTTAAATATTTGATGGGATAACTTTCAGGAGAATTAAAGTCAAAGGCAGTTCTGCCCTGTTCATTGAAGAAGTCAGCTCACCTGGGAAGATGATCCCTAAAAACAAATGATGGTAAGACATTGAGTGTGATGTCTTGGGGAGTAACTAGAAGTGCCTTTCCCTTAAGAGTGGACGGCTTGTCAGTAAGATCAGTATGTCTAGATAGAGCAATGGTTTTGGTTTTTGTTCTGGTACTGGGTCTTGAACTTGGGGCCTGGGTTCTGTTCCTTCGCTTTTTCACTTAGGGCTAGCACTCTACCACCTGAGCCATAGTGTTTGGTTGGAGATAAATGTCTTGCAGCCTTCCCTGAAACCTCCCCTTCCTCTCCCCCCCCCTACCCCCCCCCCCCCGCCCGCCAAGCTGGCTTTGAACTACAATCCCTACATCTCAGCTTCCTGAGTAGCTAGGATTACAAGTGTGAACCACTAGCACCTGGCTAAGCAACATTTCTAACATTTCAGATTCCCCCATAAATTACCCTATCTGCCTATCACCTGTGCTATCATTAATATTGTCCTTTAGAACCAATTCAGTTTTTATAACATAAATTCTTTATATTGAGCTTTAAAACATACTGTTATTTCAATTGGAAAACAGCATCACTCAGTCCGAACAGATGTAAAACAAAACTTTACAAATTCATGAAAAAAAATATGCAACAAGAAAAGAATTAGTTAAGGCTAATGAATACTGCTTGCCCAAGGCTCTTGAGCCCGAGGCCTGTTTACAACAAGAAAAAAATTAAAAGATTGAGAGGCTAAAGAGGAATTAACAGGTGTTAAAAGCATTACTGACAAACACAGCCTGTCTGTCCAAGGACTTCCTTCTAAGAGCTGCAAGGAAATTAAATCACTTTCACTATGTGATTCAGTGTTATTTATATCACCTAACATCCTGTCTAGCGGTGCACACCTCTCTCCAGCAAACACTGGACTAAAAGGAGCTGCCTTGTGTAGAAACAGAGGCCCTAGGCCAGCCTTAAGACCTGTTCAGGTTTGGGGGAGTTGCCTCTGCTGTACAGCTGAACTGATCTGTTGGTCAGGGTAGGTTCTTTATTTTATGAATTCTCCTGTTATGAAGAGTCAGCCAGTCAAAGACAGCTCCTACTGATAATCCTAGCTACTCAGAAGGCTGAGATCTGAGTAGCAAGGTGGGCAGAATAGTCTGTGAGACTCTTTTCTCCAGTTAACCAGCAAAAAGCCAGAATTGGAGATACAAGTCAGCCTTGAACAAAAAGACAAGCAAGAGTGTGAGGCCTAAATTCAAGAGGCCTTTGAAATACCAGTACTTGCTGGTACAAAAACTCAGTCTTGTCTGAGTTCTTAGTATTGATAGGGCTTAGAGGACAAGGGAAATTCACATTCAAGCTCCAGTACCAACCCCATAGCCCAGCAGCATTTGTTTTCTTAAACAATGAATAGGAACTAAAGTGAAGCTACAATAAAATCTCAGCCTCAGACCTATTCACTAGCTTTGTGACCTTGGGAAGTTACCTTCCTAAGCCTCAGTTTTCTCCTCTACAAAATGTATTTAATAATAACTACTTCAAAGTATGGGGAGTCAGGAAGTTAGCATAGCATCTACCACATTAAGTTTAAGGTCACTGTTACTGGTTCTAAGAAAAATGGAAAATGAAATCTGTTTGTTTAATGGACAGCAGGTGGGCAAAAGTAGATTGTATAAGTCATTGGTTCTCTTACTATTTTTCTTTCCCTTTTATTAAACATATAGATTGCTAATAATGTGATCCCTGTTTATTTTTAATAATGTGATCTCTCTTAGGAATCAAACATAAAATATTGTATTTCTATTATGTGTGTGTGTGTGTGTGTGTGTGTGTGTGTGTGTGTACATGTGCACACGTGTTCTCATACTGAGGCTTGAACTCAAGGCTGTAAACTCTCAATTGACTGATTTCACTCAAGGCTGACACTACCACTTGAGCCATAGCTCAACTTCCAGCTTTTTGCTGGTTAATTGGAGAGTCTCATAGAATTTTCTGCATGAGCCACAGGTCTCTGCTGAAATCTCTTCTGAGAATAGAACATGAACTGTTTTGATCATTTTTCCCCCTAGCTGCATGCATGTTTTGTCCATCAGCAGAGTAATTTGCTGGTACTCTTAAAGATTCTTGAAGTGTAAGAAATACATTGTGACTCTCTTGTACCTTCAAGGCAGTTAGAAAAGAATTTAATAAAAATATGAGCCCATAGCCAGGTATCAGCTTCACATCCGCTATCCTAGCTACTCAGAAGACTAACGTCTGGAGAATCATAGTTTAAAGCCAGCCCAGGTAGAAAAGTCTACAAGACTAAATTTCTCAAAATAGCAAGAAGCTGGGGTGGAACTATGGCTTAAGTGGTAGAGCACCAAGTGAGCAAGGAAGCTGAACAAAAGACTTGAGTCCTTGAATTCAAATCCCAATACCAAAAATGTTTTTTAAGTAAGTGATGAAAATAATATAAATGGCCACCAGGCAAGTAAGAATATGCTCAATGTTTACAGAAATATGAAAAGACACAAAACTGATGCCTAATTTTTCAACTATAAGTATTTTGATGATGTGTTTAGCTATCAAATACCCAGGGTTGGTGGATTAGTAAGCTGGTTAGAAAATATAAACACCTGTAACATTGGTAGGAATATAAAGTGATACAAAACTTTTGCAAGACAACTTGGAAACAACCTCCAAAAAACAACATAAGCTTTAATTTAGTTATACAATAGTGCTATTAATTGATCTCAGAGATAATAAAAATAAATACTTGAGAATTTTATAGATTATGGAATTCGTATATCAAAGTAAGAAATCAGAATAACCCAGTTGTTATTCAGTGTTAACTTACCAAGTATGGTAAAACATTGACTATTATGCCAAATTATTATTGAGGTCTGACAGAGAAGCATATATAAAACATGACATACATTTGAAAGAGCAGACTATAGTAAAATGTAGATAGCATTACCTTAATTCTATTAATCTCTATGTTGAAAGATGCCTGGAAGTATGGTACGCAAAATCTTTATAGTGGGTGAAATTTAGGGTAGTTTTTAAAAAACATATCGTATTTTTCTAATTGCTTGAAATTATTACAATGAGCATGTTTTTTGCTTTTACCATTAAGACAAGAAATAGTTGATCTGCCTTAATTTGAATTAAAATACCTTTTTATTAATGAGAAAAATAAAATTTTTTAAGAACTGGAAAACACCTCGGTTCTTCCCACTCTGTAGAGTGGGAAGTGTGTGTTATAATTGTGCAGTATTTTTAGTAAATCTTTGGGAGTCTTTGTGTTTTCAGCTCAAAGAGTAACCAGTTAAACAGGTGTGCCAGGCTGGTAAACCATCTGTTTCTCTGCATGGAGATTGTTTTAAAGAGGATGAAAAAGGATTAAAATCTAGCCTCGCTGACTGAAAGGCTAGAAGAAGAAAATTAATACCTTTCCTTGCATCCAGAATTACCTTCTGGTGTTCTTTTCAGCAGACATACTTAGAACCTGCCAACAATTTTTCATAGTTTGGGGAATACATGCTTTGCCTCAGTTTTAATGTATACTTGCTGAAAGGGCCCTGATGAATAGCTGAAGGTACAGAGGAAATAGCTGTGAACATTAAGTTCTCCTTAGAAACAGCTGCTTACTTTGAGTGAAGCATTTTGTTGCCTGGGCTGACTTCAAACCAGGATCCTCAGATCTCAGCCTTGTGAGTGGCTAAGATTACAGGCGTGAGCTTCTAGTGCCTGGCTAGGAATTCAATTACACACACACACACACACACACACACACACACACACACACACACGCAATCAAGTTTTTGTGAGCTGCATGTGAATTTCCCTTGTCCTCTAAGCTCTATCAATACTAAGAACTCAGACAAGACCGAGTTTTTGTATCAGCAAGTACTGGTACTTCAAAGGCTTGTTGTGATTGGCAGTCAGACGTGTATACCCTTTCTCTCTCCTCTCCCTAGAAAGCATGATCTTTTTCATTATTTACCAAACTTTCAGAGAAGAGCCTATGATATTTCCACAGTGATTACCAAAGTCAGTCATTACCAATGTCAGGAACTACGAAAATTCTGAGATTTTTGTTCACTCACAGCTTACGCTACCATAGCTTCAAGGATGCTGGGCAGAGAGTTGGACTCCTGGACTAGAGATGGAGGGCAGCAATAGCAGTAGCCAGCATGCCAGAATTTTGGGGCTGGTTCCCAGCTTCACTAACGTCCATAGAACAACACAGACAGCTGTAACACACTGGTATTGTATAAGAGGGAAAGAACCCGAGCTCACTCACAGAGCCAGACTATGTGATAGTGGGCAAAGGTTACTATGTTTGTTACACTGAGTATAAAGCATGCCCACCTATTGTTACAGAAGCCCTTACTGTATTTTCTAGGACTGCCCTTCATACTAAACAACAGTACTTTCTCTATTTTTTCACATCTATGTGTGCATGCATGCGTGTGTGTGTGTGTGTGTGTGTGAGAGAGAGAGAGAGAGAGAGAGAGAGAGAGAGAATATGGTAGTACTGTTGCTTGAACTCAGGGCCTAGGCACTGTCTCTTGAGTTTTTTACTCAAGGCTGGCACTCTACCACTTGATTCTACCACTTGAGTCACACCTCCTTTCTGGCTTTTTGCTGGTTAATTGGAGATGAGAGTCTCACAGACTTGCCTTCCCAAGCTGGTTTTGAACCATGACCCTTAGATCTCAGGCTACTGGGTAGCTAGGATTCTAGGCATGAGCTCCTCAATCTCTTTACAAATATCCTTGAGACAGTGCAGACCACAGAGCAGTCACAATATGTGTAGCAATCGGAAAGGCTCATAAAAAGTGTTTCCCCAGCAAATGCTGTAAATTGAAAGAGTTCAGCATCTTAAAAACATTAACTAATAGATTAATGGGTTGTCATCTGGAGATCTTGATTTTCCTCAAACCTATTCATATAAGTAAGAGCTAGATAACAAACTATTGCTCACAAACTATTCTCCAGCCTAGTCTACTTTGGGGGTAAAGATAGGTTTATTTGATATGTGTAGGGGGTGGGAGGATTTCAATACATGCCATTTCAATTACTAATTCTTTCTCTTGATAACTTGTTTCTATTATGACAAAATTTCAGAATGACTATTTGGTTTCTGTTCTTCCATTCCTTAGGATTGTTAGAAATACCTAATTTTATCTCAGCAAACCAACCTACTACTCCAGACTTACACCTGAATCTTGGGAATTTTAAAAGGTTAGTAAAATGTTACATGGTTTCACTATTCTAGGGTGGCTACAGTTTTCTTTTCCCTTCTGCTTTCTATGCCTTTGTTTATGTCATATCGCAAAAAAACTTCTGGTCCTTCCTTGATAACTTGTACCAGACATAATGCCGCCTATCAGAGATCTGAGACTATAACAGAAGAGAGAATCTCTGTTGTCTGTTTATGCTAATCAGAACATTGTGTTGCTCTATCTTTTTCAATGAGATAAAGAAATGATAGCTCTATCTTTAATTTTTTAAAGGATTCGGTGTTTTACAGAGACAAAAAAGGGGTTGTCTTTATAAAATATAGCAGATAACCTTGAAAAAATTCCACATCCCATCTGGTTAACCTCTAAAGGAAAATTACCATAATCATTTCTAATTTTTGCAACTGTAATTGTCCGTGGCAGATTCATTGGATGTGGATATTAGATTTGCAGGGAATAGAGCACTCTTAACATCAAGTCTTTTACCTTTGTATTATAAGCAGGCTGCTCACTCTAAGGCTAAGAATAAAACCAGTTTTAGCTTCTTCAGAAGCTCGTTATTTTGAAGCCAGTGTTTGGTGTGATCACTAGAACAAATTGTGGCTCATGGCCAGCTTTGCTTCTTTTCACGTGAGCTTCAGCATTTGAATAGGAGGTTCCCAGAACCTTAGAGTGGAGATTATTTATGTATGTATTTTGGGGTTCCAGTCTGGGGGCTTGAACTCAAGGCTTGGGTGCTGTCCCTGAGTTTTTTTGCTCAAGGCTTGCACTCTACCACTTGGGCCACAGCTCCACTTCTAATTTTTGCTGGTTAATTGGAGATAAGAGTCTCATGGCCTTTCTTCCCTGGGCTAGCTTAGAACCTCGATCTTCAGATTTCAGCCTCCTGAGTAGCTAGGATGACAGATGTGCACCACTGGCACCCAACTTTAGGAATCATCTAATGGAGATACATTAAGGATTTTCTAGTTCCAATGCTCTTAGATCCTACCATAATAAGAAAAACAATATAACAACAATAGCAGCAAAATATCCTAACACAACATTTTCTGTGAAGTTTTGTTTTTGCTTCCATTGTGATACTATCTTAGAATCTGTTCAAAAGACCCTGACCCTGCTTTATGCTAGTGATGAACTAGTAATGATTGGGGGCCACCCAGGGCCTGGGAGCTGTCCCTTAGCCTTTTCTGCTCAAAAAATTGGTGCTCTACCACTTGAGCCACAGCTCTTCTTCTAGCCTTTTGATGATTAATTGGAGATAAGAGTCTTATGAACTTTTCTGCCCAGGCTGACTTTGAACAGCAATCCTCAGATCTTGCATGCTGATTAGCTAGGATAATAAGTCTGACCCTCCACCCCCAGCATGGGGTCTGCCTTGATTAGCAGAGATGACACAAGTTAATTGGCCACAGGATCAGGATTAGAGCCCCCACCTCCCACCACTCAGACCTAGTCTTCATTAACTTGCCTCGGTGGCACTGAGCAGAGATTTCATTGTCCCGAAGTGATTTAAGACCCATATCTGAATTCTGGATGTGACTTCATTTGGTAAGTGACTTAGCCTCAGGCATAAATTAAACAGTTTCATTAATGCTTGAAGGTTGTGAGGATGACAAAAAAAATTATATTTTAACTAAAAGGGACTCTAGTAACCTAAATAAATTTATGTACGTCTAAACATATTAAACAAGAGCTCAGAAGATTGGATACAGTAATTAAGCCAGAAATCCAATTTTTCTTTCTTTTAGAATTTTTTAAGAACTAACATTTTTTTTAACTTAGTGAAAATTCTATCCGTTTTTCCACCTCGTCACCTTGGTGACTATTAATGAATCACTGACTGGTTGCTTTTGATTCCTCTATATCACATACTTTTTATTGAGTAACAGGAGCATAAGAACAAAGACAAACCCAATCCTTCCTTCTGGAGAATCATTCAAAATCTAGGAAAGAACAATCAAGTGCTGGTGTGTCATGCCTACGATCCTAGCTGCTTGGGAGGCTGAGATGGAGAGAATCACAGTTCAAGTTCACAAGATGCCCTCTTGCCCCACAGCTGGGTGCAGTGGTGCACACCTGTCAACCGTGGCGCTGTGGGACAAGGAGAAGTCAGTTGGAGATAAGAATCTTACAGTTTTCTGCCTTGGCTGGCTTTGAACACTGATCCTCAGGTCTCAGCCTCCTGGGTAGCTAGGAACACAGACAGGCATTAGCCACAGACACTTGGCCTGAGAAATGGATTCATCAAAGTCCAGCCAGAAGTTCCTCACAAGTACTTAAATCTTACCCTATCTCAGTCCAGAACTCATCAAGGCTAGATACAAATGAAGCCCTCACTTCCTCTTAGAGCAACTAGTGTTGAGTGTCCTCTCAATATCCAGTTTTAGGCTATGATACATTCCTGTACTATTTTCAGAATATGTATTCTCTAAATGTATTCTCTACATTCTTGTGTGATTAGGCAGAGGGAAAGCCTCGGGTATGCATAGCATTGTTAAACCATCCCAAGGGCACAAACTGCCTCAACAATTTACCATCAAAATGATGAATTTTCCATGATAGCAACTATGAGCAAAATTCTAATGTCCGTGCTCTATCAATTGAGGTGACCAATCAAGTTAATATTACCTAGAAGACTTTTTCTTTGAGATTCAGAATAACAAGAAGGATTTGGGTTCGTTTTCATTTTTGTTCTTGTTGTTCTGGTGCTGGTACTAGGGCTTGAACTTGTGGCTTGAATGCTGTCCCTTAGAGTTTTTGCTCAAGGCTGGCACTTTGACATTTGAGTCATGGCTTGACTTCTGGCTTTTTGGTGGTTCAGTGGAGATAAGAGTATGATGGAGGGCTGGGAAGGTGGCTCAGTGGTAGAGCGCTTGCCTTGCATGCATGAGGCCCTGGCTTCAATTCCTCAGCACCACATAAGAAAAAAGCCAGAAGTGGAGCTGTGGCTCAAGTGGAAGAGCGCTAGCCTTGAGCTGAAGAGCTGAGGGACAGCGCCCAGGCCCAGAGTTCAGGCCCCACGATCGGACCCCCCCCCCAAAAAAAAAGAGTATGATGGACTTTTATGCCGGGGCTGGCTTTGAACCTATAATCCTCAAGTAACTAGAATTAAAGACATGAAACTGACAGTGTCCAAATCAGAAAGGAAATTAATATGCAGAAGGTGGTGGCGTTGGAAGGCAGCGAGGAAATGATGCTTTGCTATTAGTGGAGCATGCCAACCATTTTTTCTACAGGGTATTCTGGGTGGATAATGTTTGTGTGCACAAGCATTTACATCTGCTATTACTACAGGATCCAAAGAAGTACAGTTGGTGGCAGGTTGTACACAACTATCTGAAGAGCTGCTATCAACCTCTCTCTAAAGTTCCCATCAATTTATCATAGGCTGGCAGTTGGGAATCCCTGTTCTACTGAGAAGTGTTGCCGCCTACTACCTTGGACAGCTCGAAGAGATTCCAGAGCTGAAGAAATGAGAAAAGACATAGAGACAGCGGAGACCAGGGGTTTTGGTGCTCACCGGCATCTGGACCCCAATTTCCCATAAGCAAGCTTATTTATTAGATTTAGTACCAGGAAGGTTACCATGGGGACATGCAGAAAACAAGACATCTGTGCTATTATTACAATCATGGAGACAAAACAGACTTTCTGTGAATAGCTGGCTCCCTTCTTGTTTGGGGAGCAAAGATTGCAATCCAGGCATGATTCAGACATGTATTCTATTCTATCTAGCTTTCAAGGTCCAGCCCTCAGCCCTTCCAACTCTAAGAAAGGAGGCGGCCTTCCAGGCTCTTAAAGCTCTCCAGAGCTGTCCCAACCTTTCCGTGGCTGGTTCTCAGCGTTCCCAGTACCATCGAGGCAGCATTCCAACCCCTCCAACCTTTTCCAGGTCACACAACTCAGCTTCAGAGTTCCCTACCGAGAGGCCTTTTGACAATAAACGTACTGCTAAGTTAATTGTGATTTCAGTTGGCTAAAATATCCTAAAGAATAGCTAATTCTGCTTGTAGCTCATCTAGTAGTATTTCTACTTTAGTGAGTTTTAGCTCTGAATCAACTCTAATAAAAAATGACAATGTTTTCTCAAGCATTAGTAATAACTTGGTCCTGGAGCTATCTCTGCATACCAACAGTAAACACTTTTAACTACCTTGAGCTGGGAATGTTGATAGAATGTTTTTCACATAAGGATTTCCAATAGTTTTTTTTTTTTTTTTTTAACCATCGCAGCTTTTAATATAACTAAGTGCCATTCAAGTATGTAAGAAAAGAGAGGGAGGGACTGGCCTGATGTGGAGCAATTAGAGAACTAGCAGCTTGCCAGAAACAATGCTGGAGAAAAACCTTAAGAGTGAAAACACCTAGCAGGCACCTGTGGCACATCCCTGTAATCCTAGCTACTCAGGGGGCTGAGAGGTGGGGATCATGGTTTCAAGTCAGCCTTGGCAGGAGAGTTCATAGGAGTTTTCTCTCCAATTAACCACCAAAAAAGCAGGAAGTAGAGGTGTAGCTCAAGTGGTAGAGTACCAGCCATGACCAAAAAAGCTAAGGGACAGCACTCAAGCCCTTAGTTCAAGACCCAATACCAGCATAACAAATAAATACATAAATAAATAGTGAAGACAATTTATCTTCTGGGTTGTGCTATGCACAGAGCAAGTTTTATAATTGGGAAAGGATTATTGTTCATGAGCAAAATTCAAAAACACTGCTAGCACCCATGAATTATCAGAATGTTCTCTTGCAAACACTGATGTTTCAAAACTAATCTGCATAGAAAAATCAAAATGATCATTTTACTAAACAGATCATAGGATATAGAAATGAGATGTTATTAAGTTTTAAAGGGACAAAATGCTAATAAAGACATGAACTCAGCTGCTATTGTTTGGATGTATTTTGTTTCCTCCCTTTTTTTTTTTTTTTTTTTTGAGCCTGGGGCTTGAACTCAGCCTGAGCACTGGTGCTGAGGGTTTTGATTTAGTTTTTGTTTGTTTGCTCAAGGCTAGTGCTCTACCCCTTGAGCCACAGCTCATCATCCAACTTTGTGGAGATTTGCTGGGTATAAGAGTCTCACAACCAGCCCCAGCTGGCTTCAAACCTAGATCTTCAGATCTCATCTTCCGGACTAGCTAGGATTTCAGGCCTGAGCCACCAGTGCCCAGCAGGTGTGTTTTATTTTTCAAGGATTCATTGGAAGCATGGTAGCATGGTAATGTAAGAAGGGGTAGAACTTTTAAGAGGTGCTGCCTTGTGTGAGATTACAACATTGACACCTCCCCTTTGCTGTAGCTTCTTGGCCTCATTCTGATCTCTCCTTCAGAAGCTACTTTGATTGTAGTGTAATCTTCCACGTGATATTGCTGAAAGGCCAGCTCACCAGAGGTGATACTACAGATGGACGTTCACCCTCCAAAACTATGAGCTAAACAAACCTTTTTTCTTTATAAATCCATAAACTCAGAGGCGGAGGAAGATGGCAGAGGTGCAGCTGGGCTCTAACTGAGCTGTCTCCAAGAAACCAGTTTTAGCGACCCAGTGAAAAGTCCGCGGCTAGAGAGACACACCAAGAGAACTGTAACAGTACAAAGGTTTTGCCCAGAAGGGAAAATTCGGGCAGCATGCATAAGAAGACTGATTTGAGCACAGGATGGCGGCCCCACAATGGAAAGGTACCAGAGACAGAGTGCACACGGCTTCTCACTCACTGTCAGCACGAGATGGATGACGAGGCGCAGAGAGCCACATCCTGCTGGCCGCAGATGGATGCCAAACACGGACAGTCCAAAAACCCAAGGGGAAACATGAATACCCTACAAAAGTCAACCTCACTCCTTCTCACACAACAGCTTCTGGAAGGTAGCCCTCCCCCCCACACCAGAGAAGAACATCTTTGATACTGACAGAGCCTGCCCGAGCAGCTAACAGATACCTTGGGCCATAGAAGCAATGACTGAAGTGCTATTTTTCAACAAGGCAAAGGAATCTGACCAGTGAGAGTCAGCTCCACCCAGGGGAAAGTTGCTTTGCCCAGGAAGCTTCTCCCAGGAAGGGTCAACTTTACCAGGGTAGGCACAGCTAGAGGCATTCCCTTCCCTACCTCCCTTTCGTCCCCCCTCCCAGCAAACAAAGACTTTCAGTCATATAGCAGCTATACCTGCAAAATACCTGTAAAATCTCGAAAAAAAAAAAAAGAACGGGCTGGGAAGTTGGCTCAGTGGTAGAGTGCTTGCTTTGCATGCATGAGGCCCTGGGTTCTATTCTTCAGCACCACATAAGCAGAAAAAGTTGGAAGTGGCGCTGTGGCTCAAGCGGTAGAACGCTAGCCTTGAGCTGAAGAGCTGAGGGACAGCACCCAGGCCCAGAGTTTGAGTCCAGGACTGGCAAAACAAACAAACAAACAAAAACCTGGGTAGGCTGGACAAATGGGATTGCATGAAGCTGCAGAGCTTCTGCAGGGCAAAGGACATAGCTAGCAAGATCAATAGAAAGCCCGCAGATTGGGAGATCTTCACTAGCTATACAACATACATAGGCTTCATATCAAAAATATACCTAGAGCTCAAAAAATTAACCACCCCCAATAACAAAACCTTAAAGAAACAACTACCTCATTAATAAGTGGACTAAAGAATTTTTTTAAAGTCTCCTCTGGAGAGGAAATAAGAATAGCCAATAGACACATGAAGAAATATTCAACATCTCTAGCCATAGAAGAAATGTAAATCAAAACTATATTGAGATTCCATCTCACCCCAGTTAGAATGGCAAGTATTGAGAAAACAAATAACAGATGCTGGCAAAGATGTGGCCAAAAGGGAACACGACTACACTGTTGGTGGGAGTGTAAACTTGTTCAACCATACTAGAAAGTAGTATGGAGCTTCCTCAAAAGACTATATATAGAGAGCTCCCCTGTGATCCAGCAATCCCACTCCTAGGCATTTACCCAAATGATCAGAAACAAGGCCACACTAAAGCTACCAGCACAACCATGTTCATTTCAGCATTATTTACCATCCTAAGATATAGAACCAACACAGATGCCCCTCAGTAGATGAATGGACCAGGAAAATGTGATACACACACACACACACACACACACACACACACACACACACAATGGAATTCTATGCTTCCATCAGAAAGAATGATATCACCCCATTCGTAAGGAAATGGAAAGACTTGGGGGGAAAATCATCTTAAGTGAAGTAAGCCAAACCCAAAGAAATCTAGGCTCGATGGTTGTCCCAATTTGTAATAGTCAGCCTATGTCTAGGATAGTTCTAGCAGAGGACCACAATAGCTCAATAGCTATGTACATATGACCATATAAAATGATGCTAATCAAAATGAACTCAAAGATATGTAAACGAGGTTTTTTGTTTTTTTTTAAAATTTTTTAAATGTACTGTGTGAAATTATTTCTTTTTTCCCTTCATTTTTTTCCTTTGTTTTACCCCGTTGTCACTATTTTTTATTGTAGTAACTTGTGTCTTGTTTATACATTTATCTGATTTGGGGAAGGGAAGGGGAATAACAAAATGGTGAGACAAAAGACAAAGGGTAAACCAATGCAACAGCAAACTCACAGGACACTCTGTTGGAAATGAACTTTACAATTTGGGGTGGGGGGGCAAGGAAAGTGGGAGAAAATGAGGGAGGGAATAACGATGTTCAATGAGAAATACACTCATTACCTTACTTACAAAACTGTAATCCATCTGTACAGCACCTTTACAATAAAATTAAATTAAAATATTTTTTAAAGTACATAATTCCTGGCATTTCATTTTAGTAGCAAAAAATACCCCCCAAAACCCTCAAACACATCAGTTACTTAGAGAAGAGAATGCTCCTGTTTGGTCATTCTTTCTCATTAGAAGCAAGAAGTCTATGAATACACAGAACAAAGGCAGCTGAAATGCAAGTTGTATCATCTAATTCCTATTGTTGGAACCACAGTAAATAAACCAACATTCACCACCTCCTGAAAATGACAGAACTGATCAACAGGCTGAAGCTGAACAAGTTTGATGTCACCCTGTAGGATACCACATGACATTTGAATATATGCAAAGGGGTGAAAGGTTATCAGTTTTCAGTCTTGTGCATCTAGAAGCAGACCTGCAGACTTCGTTGTGGTGCTATGAGGCTATCCATCACTGTCACATTCCTTCTGCATGTCCATTAAAGATGGAGGAGAAGGAGAGGAAAGGGGAAGTGAAAGGACAAACTATTAGCCATCGGAGGTTAGCTCAGATATTTGTATTTACCAGCTTCTACACTTGGATGGTTGATAGGTAGAATGGAAGAACCAGATGTCCAGCTTCATTTGGCACTTAGCATTTATCTCAGCGTGTCCCTCGTTCCAGCCACAGATGCTAAGAGAAGCTCCATTCAGAGCATTCCCTCCTGTAAGCATGTGCATGCTAAAGGCCATTTGCATACAAAGATGTTCCACCAAGGGAGTATCTCAAGGCCTAATAGACTTCACTTAACCATTTATATGCACCTGTCTAATTCCTGTGGTGACAAAGGCCAATCCTTTATCTAGTGATAACCTAGAGCATGGAATATACTGTGGAGGAGGCCCACGTGGAGAATAAACCTTCGACCTAGGACTCAGAAATAGTGATTTCTGTACCCTTTGTCTTGTATATAATTTTATCTGATCTGGAAAGGGAAGGGGAATCTCAGAAACAGTGGGGTCAAAGGGTGAACCAATGCAACAGTGATACTAGACACTATGTTGGAAATTAACTTTACAACTTAGGGAGAAGGGGAGTGGCAGGGGAGTGGGAGAAAATTAGGGAAAGGGTAACACTGTTCAAAAAGAAATGTAGTCCGGAGCAGGTGGCTTACACCTGTAATCCTAGCTACTCAGGAGGCTGAGATCTGAGGACTGGTTCAAAGCCAGCCTGGGCAGGAAAGTCTGTGAGACTCTTATCTCCAATAAACCACCAGAAAACCAGAAGTGGTGCTGTGGCTCAAGTGGTAGGGTGATAGCCTTGAGCTGAAGAGCTGAGGGACAGTGCCTAAGCCCAGAGTTCAAGCCCCATGACCAACAAAAGACAGAAAGAAAGACAGAAAGAAAGAAAGAAAGACAGAAAGAAAAAGAAAGAAAGGTACTCATTATCTTATGTAACTGTGACCCTTCTTTACATCACGTTGACAATAAAAAAATAATAAAAAGAAAAAAGAAATGTAAT